AGTGCACTTCTTTACACATTTAAAAAATGTCCATGCTTTTCGGGACAGCTGAGGGTTCTCTTGCTGTGATGTCATATCAGGAAGAGATTGTTCAGTTTATGCGTTTTCTGTTCAAATTGTGAACCCAAACATTTGCTTATTGGAAACATTTGTGAGAATAGCGTGCTCATTGGCTCTCTGACACAACGAATGACCAAAGAAAACAAATTTACGACAGTAAATATCAAACATTCTGACAACTTTTGGTGCTGAAAATCAGAAATAGCTGTAGCATTGAGGCTTTTGCTTGAAATGACATCTCACTTTTACTAATGAGTATGGAAATTGCATGTTACATACATGTAAAAATCAAAAAGGTTCCAAAATACCCTTGAAAATGGCAAAATGAAAATTGAAAATAAAGGGCCCGGACATAAAGGTGCTTTTTCACAGTAAACATGGGCCCTTAACTTTGGTCTCTGTTTGCGTGTTGTATGATTCAATCATGTCCTATTCTCTTTGTGTACAACCATGACAACAATCAGTTGTATTGATTGTTCGTGTGACATCCTTGAATCCTGTGACTTATATCCTTTGTGCACACAATGGCTAACAATACATAGTGTTAATTTGTATACTTCAGGATGACCAACAGCATAAATGATGTATAGACATGTATATAAACATGTAACAATGATACCAATCGTACATTTTAGTATGTACGTGGTTATGTGTGCATGTGACACTGTACAGGTTCATTTTGTTTCCTGATTTGAGTAAGAGGGTGGAAAAAAAAATTTTTTCTGGACCTCTTGCAATTTTTGAAAAATTTTCAAATTAATAGACAGAATTGAGATGTACGTACATATGTACATGTTACAGTAAGTAAAAAGTTGAAGATGTCATTTAAGAACAACAAAGCTACATGTATACATCAGTACCAACTATATTTAGACATGTAATATTACAGCTTTCATTGTACAATGTTGTACGGGGATGGTTCTTTGTTAAAGCGTATCGGTACATGTATGTACGTACATGTTAACTTACAGTAAGGCCAAAAAAAAGAATAGTTCTGCTTCCGGTTAACCGACCGACCCTATTTTTAGGCTGCGACCCTAAAAATGTTATCGGCAATTCCAAAAAAAAAAAAAAAAAAAAAAAAATTGAATAAATACAAATAAAATCTGTCTTTTCTGTCTTCACAAAATACCTCTCAACAACCCTTTTGTATCCAAAAATGCTTGTATTTATTTGTTTTCTTACTTACATTCGCTTTTTTTTCAAAGAAACCTCCGTAATTACAAATTCGCTTCGCGATATAACTACATGTACTTCGCAATTCGATGTCACGCACGGTGACTATAATCACGTGGCGACGACTGGTTCCTGCCGCGCCGCGCAGGGGCCAATTTAGAAGACATAATGAAAATGCGGTAACCAGTCCATAGCTAGCTATGTGACCGATAGCGCGCTATCAGTACAGTGCAGGCCACTGTCAACTGGTCGGATTCGACATCGTAAAAATGCCAAGAAAACACCGATGGAGAAAGAACATTTTTGCAAGTTAATTTACAGAATTGATCTAGCTCGTATTTGGAGTGATACATGCCGCGTGTTTCCCGAAATTGTTTACGGTAAAAACAGCTCTGACGGCCCATGGTGGGCCGCTCGCCACACACGCACGCATTACACACCTCGGAGTTTTGGCCAGCTCCCCGCGTCTTGACTAGCATTGTGCATATGGTGCGAACGACCTGAATTTTCCATTATTTTTTGAAATTATCGAACGTAAATATATTGACAATAATTAAAGGTAGGTTTTACTCACTTTTTGTTGCCATGTCGTGTATAGCTTTTGTAGTGCAATAGAAATAGTTCAGGCTAAAATTTCACATATAATTGAATACCCCATTCAATCTGCATAAAAAAAATGTATATTTAGACATGTAATTACAGCCTTCATTATACGGGATACATAGTTCTTTGTAAGCGCACCGGTACATACCGGTAAAGTACATATTTCTTTGTAAATTTACTTCATTTATAAATACTGCACGAATCATCAACAAAATATTCAAGTACCGGTACTAAATGCCTACCACAGTAAGTACTATTCTTAAATAATGCAACCAAGTGATTAAAAGAAATCTTGTCCAAGAATTTGTCAAGCCCTCAGTACAAGTTCCTGCACGAACCATCAACAAAATATTCAAGTACAAAATGCCTACCACAGTAAATGGTATTCTTAAATAATGCAACCAAGTGATTAAAAAAAAATATTGTCCAAGAAATTGTGAGCCCTCAGTACATAGAGCAGTTCCTGGAGTTAGGTGTAAACAATCCGATTCCAAGAGGGAGTTGCCCACAGCTTGACCTGTCTACAATAATCCAAAGGTCATTGAACAATGCAATCTGCTACACTGTCGAGTCCTGGCTGGAGTAGCCTGAAAGAGATTGAACATACATGTACATGTACTGTTTGAAATGATATTGTTTACACAAATGTTTGCTCTTGTCTGGAACTGTATTTTGTTTAATTTGTCTAGTTTTAATTGTTCGGCTGTTCCTGACCAGTTGCTGTACATGTATGTGTGTACATTGTGGTAACTTAAAGGGAAAATACAACATTTGCAAACATCAAAAAATAAAACTACCAAATCATTTTGAAATACCTTGCTGGACTGTTAGTGAATGACAGTGAAAAGCATCCTGTAAAATCATGGCACCTGGTACACTGTCATTTTCAAGAAAAGTGGTATTTTCGTATCAATTTCCAACGCTGATCGGCCGATCAGCGTTGGAAAAAACTGGCTTTTTTTTCAAATACTGGCCCCAGTTGACCATCGCACTTGTTTGCAATCGATTACACACCTATGAACGGGTACAAGCCAGCTAGACTGGTTCCCTGACCTTACAATTCCCCAATGTATGTAAACTGCTCTGTTTCTTCTTAAATGGAGTCAGGGAACCAGACTACAGGAAAATGATTGTTTTTCTTGGTTTTTATAGCAGTTTTGAACCCAAAACCTCAAAAAAGTCAGTGTAACTATATTTGCTATATATTTCCAACACCCCAATTCCATCCATTTCTGAAAATGACAGCAAAAGCAAATGATGTATATTCCCTTTAACTAATGTACATAAATTCACGTTTTACATCGGCTGTTATGAAAAGATTTAGAAAATGCATCAGTATACATGTAGTTTCAAATTTAGACCTAATTTCTTTGATGGCCTAGCAGCATGCATATTCGTTGTGAAAACCCAGAATATTTGTACATTCAGCTGTCGATCATTGGAGGTTTCGGTACGTACATTGCAGGTCATTGTCCCGGTGTCAAACACATACATGAACCTACACGTATACAACATACCCGTATTAAGTGTACAGTGTTCATGAACATTTACAAAATGTATCCGGTCTGCATGCATGTACACGTAAATGTACCAGTATTGTACATGTACATGTACCGGTACATGTTGTACAATGTACTAGGCAATAAGTGCACGTTAATTGTTATTGTGTATACCGGTACAGATGTTGTAAGGCCTACCGGTACCATCAGTACCATGGTAAAGGTCTACAACATGTACATGTACATTGTACATGTACACATATTTATGTACATGTATGGATTATCACGAATATCTAAATCCTAAAGACATCTTCCTGAAGCATACTTTTACCGGCATACATGTAGTACATGTACATGTACCGCCATACATAATTACAAAATGCGTATGACCCCTGTATATCCTGTGGTCTTTAGTTTCACTGCAGATACATGTACACAAGTAGGGCCACATGTATCTAACCACAAAATGAAAACAATGTGTAACCCACCCAGCCTTGAACTTTGCCTGAACCATGGCTCCATGGATGAGCAGGGCTAGACCACAGAAGCTGCATAATGTACAATGTACTTGTAGTCCTGTCTAGACTAAGTTGTGGGCAGGCTATGGGTACCTGCTTAGTAATCAATTAAGATGACCAAGCATTTATCTTTAAAAAAGACAAGACAAAAAAGAATAAATACACGTAGAACATCTAAAAAAAAATATGTTGAACCGTGGTTCAAACTAATGTGTTCAACGTTGTTTCCAAGTATTCAGTCATTACATGTTAATTTTATACATGTACTCAGCAAGAATTGTAATGAACACCATCAAGGGCGTTAATCACTTTTTTAAAGTGGGGAGGGGGGGGGGACTTTTGTTGAATGTAACTAATGCGAAGCCCTTATGGCGTTGGGTTCGGGGCCCGCTTAAGGGCCCCGAAAAATGTCGGATTCTAGACGCTCTGTGGTGCGATCTGAGGCAATTTCTGACCACTTTAACGCATTTTTTTAAGCAAAAGATCACAATTAAAACATGTTTAAGTTTGGAGTAATTGAATCAGCTATTCTGAGCTGTAGAATAATATGTGGGCTACATTTTTTTGGAGGGGGGGGGGCAAAAAAGTGGGGGGGGACAAACGATATGATATCACCCCCCCCCCCCTCCCACTTTAAAAAAGTGGGGGGGGGACTTGTCCCCTCAACGATTGACGCCCATGAACACCATACACGTTCATTCATACATGTATCTGTTCATAGGATGTAATTTGCATTGTGGTACGTGATGAAAATTCAAAATTGGATTAATCCCTTTACTCACAGATGAATTTTTATAAATGCTGTGTTGGCCGAGGCTTGTGAAAGGTAGCTTATACTCGGTTGGGACTCCAACCCATGACCTCCTGCTTACTAGCGCAGACGTCTTACCACTCGACCACCGAGTTTGCTGGGCCGGCTTGGCTGGTTCAAATCTGGTATATACATAGTAGCGGGTACCACAACCAAACTGAGTAGACAGTGTGTATAAAAATACATCGGTGAAGGTGGAAAATCCTATTCAAAAATGTATTGGATGTTTTCAGAAACTGCATTATAAAACAAGTGTCACTTTCAACATGTGATTAAATGAAATGTTTGCATTATTACAACATCCACTGACACTTGTACTTCTTTTTCACTCAGATGGTATGGCACAGAGAAAGACTACAACGTCTTGGTCATGGACCTACTGGGCCCCAGCCTAGAAGACCTCTTCAACTTCTGCAGTCGCAGGTTCACTATGAAGACGGTCCTAATGTTAGCTGATCAGGTAGGTTGTCACTCAGGTCGAACAAATGAGATGATGTCCAAAAACAAAAAAAATATTTACAAAATCTGTCCAAAATGGACAGGTTATAATTAATAATCTTGTAAATTGCATTTTTGTTTGTTTGATGAAATAACATTTTATCATATAGGCCAAGAAAAAAAACACCCTGTGTTTCTGGTCACCCGCCCAACCTTGAAAATCACGCAGAACGTAAATCTAGTTTTGAGGACATCATCCTGCATTTCTTAAAATGTTTGCTTCATTTTTATGGTCGGCAGTGCAGTCTTGCCAAGCCTATAAACAATGAAGCAAAAGCAGAATGAACAGTTAATTCACACGTTAACTGTTATTAATGCATGCACAATTAAAAAAATAATAATTGACCATCATCTCACCCTATGTTTTCTGGCTATAAAAATTTAGGGACTCCCCCCCCCCCTTATTTTTTTTTTACCTGCCCACCTTATTTTTCTTTCTTGGCCTATTCCTTTCTGCCATAAATTATGTTATGTGCCATAAGTACGCATACTGCACCCAAGATATTCTTGGCAATATGCAAGTGCCCAATCAGGTACAATTCAATATCTGTTTTTAGAACTAAAACAATTTAATTATAAAGTACTGTTAATTCTTCAATTTATTTTTTCCCACACCCCTTTCTGTACAGATGATCAGTCGTATAGAATACGTCCACATGAAGAACTTCATCCACAGAGACATCAAGCCAGATAACTTCCTCATGGGTATTGGAAGACACTGCAATCAGGTAGACATTAAAGACATTTTGGCTATAATATGTCAAAGGTTGGCTGGCCTCAAACCTTCCACTATGGCACGATAATGATTGTGCTACTTGTAACTTTTTGGGGTGGTCCAATGCTTCCGGTGTCCAACTCATTTACGATAATACATGGGATCAAACCCTGATGGGGAACATGGCGCTTGTGTCCTTGGGCAAGACACTTGACTGCAATTGCCTCTCTGGATAGTTACCAGATGGCGCTGCAGCACTGTATTATTATTATTATCATTATAAGCTTCACATTATTATTGAAAGTTCTATATCCAAATTGCGGTCAATTTCCTGATGTAGTTTTGCCTGCACTAATCGCAGCTGTCTTTACTTAAAGCTACAGTCCATCATTTGTAATTTGTGCATTTTGTTCGTTTGAAGCAACAAAAGAGTTCAAAATCTAATGAAGGATACTGAGCAACTAACCTGATGAAGTTTCAGCTAAGCTTCAGCTGTACACTCCGAGAAAAACGGCATTCTAAGATCTCAATTTCAAATCCAAAGTTACTGAATCATGTTTTGAATTGTTTTGAATTGCAGCTATACGCGACGTCGCGCACTGATCCGACGAATTATAACAACCGCGCGCGCGTGTGCGTCGTTCCAATACTTGTGCGCGCTGCGCTGAATAACAAAACGAACTACTAATTAAAATTTTCCTACGGTGCTTCTTAAGAATCACTGTTGGAAATGCCTTCTTTCGTTGATTACTTCAAAATGACAGCTTGCCAGAAAGAATAATTTCACAGGGAGTTTAGTCCCCTTACTATTTTTCAACCAAGTTTGTTTTTCAACAATAATTATGCCAGTTACTTTTCGGATGGCTGCAAATGATGGACTATACCTTTAAAAACCAGGAATTGGCAGAATAGTTAGCAGAAAAGAAATGAAAAATCCTATTGTAAACTTGGTGCATGCTAAAGTACAAGGCCTCCGTGCACAAGTAGTACCCTTTCAACAGTACGAAAAGGAAAGTTTGGGGAGACGACTGGAAGAGACATTGGAACACATTGCAAACGACGCCTGGGGCTCACGCAAAGACGCTCTGGCTTTGTGCACATTCTTAATAAAAATTGGTGGTGCAAACATGCACGCGGTGTGTCCCCTCCATAGGGCTGTCGAAAGTAGTCACAAAGAACCCTCTGGTGTTTGCGCATGGAGCCCATTGCCAGTAAACACATGCCATTGTTTTCAAGGATTTCTCTGATATTGCGGCTAAAAGGGTGCAGACATTGAGTGCTCTTGTCAGTTACAGCCTTTCAGTTCAAAGCAGAATTTCTTTTCATACTTGTGATTTTTGTTTTGCCTTGACCGATTTCCAATTTTGTTTTCCTTTCAAATAAAGCTCTTTGTGATAGACTTTGGCCTGGCCAAGAAGTACCGGGACGGACGGACGAAGGTTCACATCCAATACAGGGAAGACAAGAACCTAACGGGCACAGCAAGATACGCCAGCATCAATGCACATCTGGGTATTGAACAGAGGTAAAAAAAAAAAATCACCATGCTGCCTTGGTATTGGTTGTAATGGGTTATATCCCCTATGCTAGGTTCACACATTGCCGAATTAGTTATGAATACAACCAGAATACAGTAAGAATTGAAATTGGTTCCCGAATCACCCCGACAATTTTGAACATGTTCAAGTTTGTCGGAGCGCTTCCCGATCTTAAACGATCTTTCACCGAACTAACAGAATCATCCCGAGGCAGCCAAGAACTATCCCCGATTTATTCAAAAATTGGTAATCGCGGCGATTCGGCTTAAAAATCGGGAATGTGTGAACGTAGCATTAGTCGTGGAAAAATCATGGAAAATCCTGGAATTCAAAGCTATCATGGAAAGTCATGGAATTTGGTTATTTTACAAGGAGTAATGAAATTTAGATTCCAACGGAAAAGGGCATGGAAAAATCTGTTTGCATAGATATATTCTTGGTTGTCATCACGGTTCTTTTGTCAGGAAACAGGATTTAAGTCATCTGTGGAAATACATGGAATCGTGCCACTATCAACGTGACAAATCCTGGACTTGTTCACTTCCTGGGAGGAGGAATACTATAATCAAATGCCCAATTTGCTGATCACCGAGTTCAGATAGTGCACGTTATGACAATCTATATCTATGTTTACATATTGGATGCCAATTTCCATCCCCCTAATTTTTTTGGGGGGGGGGAAATGAGGCAAAAGCCTGAAAACCCTCAGTTACTACCTTTTACCCTTGACTACACGCAGACACCTCCATATGATTGTACACACAAAAAATTGCCAAAAGCAGGATTTTAAAAAAAAATTGTGGGTACTAAGGTTATAACAGAAACTAACATAATTGGAGGGTTTTTAGCAACTGTTGATGGATCCCTTTAACAGAAGCTCATCGCCCCATTTGCGGAAATGCCGCACACTGCTCCTGTCGCAGGAAGGAAGGGTTTTTATTTCAATGTTTCCGTAATATCTGGTTGCCCATCCTGCATAGCAGTGTTGTAAACGAGTCCATCACAAGTCCCTGCAAGTCCATCACAAGTCTGTCAGTCTCAAGTCACTAGCTATTCAAATGTACTTTAACAAAAACTTTCCTTTTTGTCACTGTTCATCCAGTTACTTGTGACTGGACTTTTGAAAGGACTTGTGACTGGACTTGTGATGGACTCAACTACAATACTGCTGCATGAAGCAAATCTTGGGATAAAAGTACAAAATTTGCTTCCATTGGCTTGATCAAAGACCCTGTTACACTTTTCTTCACGCTCCAAGTTTGTGATTGTGAAGCAATCTTGAAATGTTTTTTAAAGGCCTGTTTTGTATTTTAACCTTGAAAAAGTTCTCAAAGCGAGTGAGAAAGATGAAGGAAAAAGTCACCGTAGTGAGTGAAACAGGCTGGCATTTGTTACGAGAAACATAAGCCATTACAGCTTAAGCCTCTCCCACAGCCTGTCCCCTCCCATCCACACTCATACCAGTATGTAGAGCTCCGTGCGCAAGTACCCCCTCAAAGGTTAGAAAGGGAGAGTTGGGGGAGACCACTGGGAGAGACATTTGAACGCATTACCAATGACGCTAGGTGCTAGGCACTAAGCGTTTGTTCACATTAACCCTAACCACCCCAACTCCATCAAAATCCATCCCCCAATTTTGGTGGATTTGGGGGGACTTGGTCCAGAAGGCCTGGCGTGACTAAATATTGATGGAATATTGATACGCGTGCCAACCAGAACGCACATGCAATGTGTGTCCTGTACACTTGGCACGGTAGTGGTAAAAAAAGCGTCCTCTCTTGTTCGCACACGGACCCCACTAGTCTTTTTGTATTCAGTAACCTGCTTAACTCTGCACTTGTCAATTTTTTGTTTTCCCCCTGCAGTCGACGTGATGACATGGAGTCCCTTGGCTACGTGTTGATGTACTTCAACAGAACCACTCTACCCTGGCAAGGTCTGAAAGCTGCCACCAAGAAACAGAAGTATGAGAAGATCAGTGAGAAGAAGATGTCCACACCGGTAGAGGTGCTCTGTAAGGTGAGATAATATGCAATTATACCATGGTTTGAGGGTGGAGAGTCAATATTATCCTCCCCTAGGTATTGGTAGTGGACAACCTGGTTTCTGAGGCACGGGAAGTAGTTTGCTTACTGTAAGCAAAAGAATCCCTCACTAAGCAAACAAAATTTGTGCTAATGCTTAACATGTTTCACAGGTAAGCAAGGATATTTTTGGCTTGTGCATAGTTCCGCACGCAAATATTCCTTAGAGATTCTGTGCCGACAGGGTTAGCACAGGATTTCTGCGCTAGTGCTGTAAGCACAGAATGGTGTTCATAAGCACAGAATTTCCTGGTTAACAGAGTTGTTAAGTTGGGACCTGTCCAATTTCATGGCTCTGCTAACCACAGAATTCCATGCCATTTTGTGCTAACCGCGCTAGCAGAAAAATTCTGTGCTAACCCTGTAAGCACAGAATCCTTAGTTACGGGATGTACACATGCGCGGAGAAGCCTAAATTCCCTGCTAACCTGTGAAATATGGTTACCAAAAGCAAGGAGTTTTCTGCTACAGTAAGCAGGGATTTTTCGCTTATGGTAAGCAGCGCCATGAAATTGGGCCCTGATCAAACTGAAAATCAAATTGTTACCAGTGAATGTGTTTATAATAAACCCATCAGTCACTGTAGCGTCCAAAACTGACTTACCGATAACACCCTGTAGCGCCCAAAACCACCCTGCCTATAACTCCCAGTAGCACCTGAAACCACCATCATCATCATCATCATCCTAATCTTTCATGGGGGACGTTGAGCCGCCAAAACCAAGTGATCGAATGCAGACTGCCACAGCTGTTGTGCTCGTGTCCTGTAGTCAACTTCCAGCGGGCGCACCCAGGTGAAACCACCTGAGCACTCTTTAGTTGAATGGATTCATCAGTGAAAAAACACAATGTAATACAATGTTGTACAAGTGCCAATGGGTAAATCTGTTCTTTGTAGCGTTAAAAATACATTGATATAAATGATTTTATGCTTTATATTCACCTTACAGGGCTTTCCAGCGGAATTCGCCATGTACCTTAACTATGCACGTGGGCTGCGATTCGACGAGGGGCCAGACTACATGTACCTGCGGCAGCTGTTCCGCATCCTGTTCCGCACCTTAAACCACCAATACGACTACACCTTCGACTGGACCATGCTCAAGCAGAAGTCCACGTCGCAGGTGGCCGCGCCGGGCAACGCCGGCACCGCCGGCGGCACCAAGCACACGGAGAGCAAAAGCAAGAGCAAGCGTTGAGATTTCCCCCGAATTCCTTGTCCCCGTTTGTCGATTGCGCATTGTGCGAGGGGCAGACAATAATGATCACTCGTGAGATTACGAGTTGGGGCTTGACCTCAGATGGGTCAGCCTTCGTTGGATCATACTGTGGGAGGGCGGAGAATACAACCGCCACCCTCCCTCCCGTCAACATTGGATTGGAAAGTCGCATGAGATTTTTTTTTTTGATTGCACCGAGTCCCCTAATACAAACTAGCATGCTTCTTTCCAGTTTACGTGTGTTCGTTAAAGACTGTTTTTGTTGTGGTGCCCCGTCGGATGGATTATGATCTTGTTTTAATTTGCGTTTTTTCTCTTCGACCACTTTAATCAAGTGATGTTATTTACTCAGATTGCACAGGGTAAAGTGGAGCAAGCCAAGGTTGACTGGCCTCCTGAAAAAAAAAAACACCCCAGAGCACTTTTTTGAAATCAGGAATGCGGTTCTGTGTTGACATTGCAGAATGAATTTGAAAGTGTTAATATATATATATAAATATACATATACTAAGGCATTGTAAATGTGAGTTACTCTTAAATTATTCTTCCCATTTTCTAGGTGTTTTGTCTGTGACAACTTGACTTATCTGATCTAAATGCAAGCCACAGATAGCAGTGGTACCTTCACAATAATTCGAGAAGCAAAATGTCGACAGAGTGAAGCGCAAGTAACACAACGCCAAACAATTGAATTTTACCCTCATGTAGCCTACCGGTGAACCGTTTATAGAATTTACATGATTCACCGCGCAGTAACCGAAAAAAACCTTTCACATGTCCATGAAGATTTTTTATGCAATGTACATGTATTATGCACCGTCAGTAAACACGTAATGCCTAATGACTACTCATCTTGTAAATAGAACCGTTGTTTAGTGTATTTATATAATCCTGGCATATCTGGTATTGAGGTCATCAGAACTGTTGATGGCGTGTCGTCTTTTATTGGACATCAAGCCTAACTGCTCAATGGCACCGTTAATAAACATGTACATGAAAAGGGCCTTTAAATAGTCTATCCGATATCTCTGTGTTGGACCCGGGTCCAGTACACAGATTTCGGGAAACCCTTTCACACTAGCAAGAATCCAACATGGCTTCTACCTTGGTCCTGCGCTCTACATTGGTAAAATCCAACCCTGGAATTGACCAGGGTCAAGAGGCTCTACCTGGGTAGAAAATTCCAAAAATCTGGAGCAGACCCGCGTACACATAGTCTGAGTATCACCCGTTATCCACGGAGCCAAGACTCCTGTATAACGTCTGATATATCTAAGCATGCATGACATCATTTCATTCCGAAATCAGGACTAAGATTGTAATTGGTCAGTTTTGATGCCTCGTTTTTGTAATACAACAACCTGTACAGAAATGCTACGTGATGTTTACACGAGCATGGAGCTTGAATTACGCGAGTATAGAAGGCGCCTGCTGATTGGTCAGTTTCTCGAGGTCACATGCAGTCTAGTTGCATAATTAATCGCCGAATCTGTTTATGTACAATAGACCATTGTCGGCTTCGTCAGGGCCAAGGTCTATTACATAGACTAGTGTGCACACCGGTGTAATCGTGAACTGTACACCTTGCCTGACTGTGTTTTATGGTAGGCAGTTACGCTAACGAAGGGCCAGTGGGCAGGAGAAATAAAAAGTTGGGTAGGAGACTTAAATAGTAGCCATGGTTTCTAATTTCAGAATTGGATTATCTTCTGCTGTTTGTGAACTGTTTTTTTTTATCGGACTTTTAATAAAAATACAAAAAAGCAATAGACCATGGCAAAGCTAGGACTTGTAAGTATCTCTCATTTTAATACCCCACAACTTCATGTAGATATCCACCATTCGATGTGGAGCAAATTAACATTGTGTACCATATCAGTGCTCACCAAATAAATGGTTTCTGTCATCTGGAGCAAATAAGGGGCCATTTTGTGGTAGAGTTGCTTATCTTGCGTAAAAGTGTTATTTGTTTCATTGCTAACATTTGCATGCGATTTACATGCAGATTGTTTTTAGTAGAGAAGGCATTGTTAACTTTGGAACCAAATATTTTAGCATCAGCATCTCTATCAAATTGGCCCCCGACTCCTAAAAGGTGCATTGGATTGTATCATTTTTTTTTTTTTTTTATGAAAGATGGCAGTAGCCAGGATAATTTTCTTTAGTTACCAACCTGAACAAGTGTTAATAGCCACCATTTTGGCGAGTTTTTAATAATTTATTGATAGATTGATCATGTCTCCACAATAAGAGATTTAGGCTAGAAAGGAATGATTGGTTTTTAAAAAAAGAAAAATAGGCTGAAAGATATCAGGAAATCAGGATCATCTTGTGCAGCACTTACTTTAATTTATTTGATTTTAAATGTTTTTAAAGTTGTCTGCTAGTTATGTTATTTGTTTTTTAGTTTGCATTTGTCTCCCCAGATTGATTGTTCTTTTGGTTTTGTTGAAAGCACATAAACAGGAACTTGTAAGGCCAAAGGTGTAACAAATAGATTGTTTGTAGAGAGAGAATTTTCAGCATTATAAAAAGTGAAGTTGCACATGATTATTATTAAAGACCTCACCATCACTTCACCACCCCTTGATTTAGTTCATCACAAAGTAAAAAGTTCAACAATAGAGTGTAAGGTTTTGAATATAAATACAGAGTACACCGTGACAATTTTCAGGTACATTTTGGTACTTAAATCAGAGCCTATAGTTCATTTTGTGTGGGTTTTTTTTTTTTTTTTGGGGGGGGGGAGGGGGGTTCACGTTATTGCACTCCATTTTTACATTGTCCGCTTTTTCTGTCACTGCCAGTTTCTGAGCGCAAATTGTGTTTGCAATGTGTATTCATTTTTTTTTTTTTTTACAAAACATCAGGTTTTTAATTAGTTTTCTAAATTTAGATTAAACTCCCAAGATAACTTTCAGTTCAGTGTAGGCGAGGACAAAATACCCATTACTTGAATTATTACTGTGTTATGTATGAACTACCAAAAAAATTAAATTTCTAATCTTGTTTTTCATTTTATTGGTGGAGAACAAAAAAATTAACTCGGTTGAATTTCACTATTAAAACAAAATTATATGACACTTGTTTCACTGTAAACTTGTTATCTTGAGAACTACCTGATAACCTTTTTAATGTAATTGTAAAACTGAACTTGGTGAAAGGTTAATTCTTCTAACGTAATCAACAATGAACAAGAAAAACATTTACAGGTACATATAATGGGCCCTTGTTAACATTTTGTAGTGAGGCCAAAAATAAAAACTGGATCAAGGATTTTTGCTGACAAAATGAAAACCTGAGAAAAAAATGCCAAAAACAATTATTGCAAATACAGCAAATCTATTTTTTTTAAAGCAAGATAACAACTTAAGGCTGGCTGTTCGACATCCTGTAACCTGAATCTAGACCAATTTCATAGCGCTAGTAATTACCAAGTCTTGGGAGCATCGGTAGAGCTACCCAGGAAATACCAAAGCATGCCTCACACACCCTGTATTCAAGCGTGAAGTATGCTCCACATCTGGGTAACGCTGCCAAACTTCCCAAGACTGGATGTGACTCATCTTGTTTGTTAGCAACCTCTGGCCACGGTAGCTTGCCGTGGTCTGCATTGAAGAAAAAAAATCCAGCCTTGGATCAAGACTAACCAGCCATATGGCCTGATTTCTTCCCTAACATGTAGCTTGAAAATGCCCTTTTAGAGATTTTATAGAGAGATATCAGAAATACTGGTATTTCAACTAACAAAGCGTATCTGAGTCTCCTGTTATCAAAACTACATGTATCACTCCTCTGTAAATAGCAAACGGAGATACTAGAGTCCCCATGTGATTTTTATGTCGTGTCTAATTTATGCTAGTTGGAACTCCTTTGGATGTTTTTTTATATGTTCAGTTAATTGTCCTTTGTGTGCTAAAAAGTCCCAAGTTTGTTGTTTTGATTGCTGCACAAGAAACATGTGGATGGCATGTGTAAATACGATGTATACCGTCACGATCGCCCAGCCATAATGCAATCTCTTAATGGACTGGAAAATTCTCATGTTGCAACTTGTAAAATGTCACTGTAAAAATACACAAGCAGTTTCTGTAGCGGGGTTTCTATAGATTTTCTTAATAGCAATTTTTTTTTTGGTAGGACGTACCCTTTGTCGTAAAGGGGTGTTTTCATTTCCACATCAGACATGAGAATTTTCTGTTGAGATTGGGCCAGTTTTGTTTATAAATGTGAAATAAAAGAAACTCTGAAAAGGGTAAAAAAAAAAAAAAAAAAAAGTTGTTTTTATGGTACTGTTGAATTATTTGCCGTCTTGGACTCTTGGTGTGTGTGTGTGTGTGTGTGCAGGGTTTTCGATCCCTTTGTCTCTTTACCTTGTAGGCCTAATATTGACACGAAGTATTGAAAAACAAGACCATGAAAGCAAGACCCAGACCGCACCCAGATTTTCTCAAATGATTCAGAATGACTTTTTTTTTACTGGGAGTCTTTGGTGTGTCTGGACCATACAATGCCGGCGCCGGAATTAGCACATTTATTGACAGGGGGAATCCTATACGACTCGGCCCTGCTGACTGTTGGTCAATCGGGCACAAAAAGGACACAAGGTTGGCCCTCTTTGACCAGAAAAAGGTAGGCCAATTGTTGCGTTCAGCCAATTTAGAAGACCTAAAACATTATTAATGACGTCACGCTTTGTTTACCATGTTTACCTGTGGGCTTTCCTAAGACAGCTAGGTATCTTGTAGGAGTGCACACAGCGTGACGTCATTACGTCTTAGGTCTAGTTTGGGATTTACATTTGTCTTGGCTTTTCCCAAAATTGTGGGGAAAAACGTACCTTTTTGTACGCATGTTTCACTCTCTTCATCTTTTTCTACCCCATGGTCCATTTTGCCTATGTACACATCTTTTTTGGACACCATTTTTTGGCATTCATGTCAGCTCAGTGTCCCTTTGGTCCCGAAGTGTGATGTCATGTTGACATCATACATCGTGTGTCATCGTGTCATGTGACGTCACTACAATGACCATTAGCCGATTGGGTTGAAACTTTGCATGTACTTAGACAGGGATGTTAGTTGACATGATGACATTATGATGACGTTTGTGCAAGCAGAATTGTGTCTCAGTTGTGGGTGCGGTTTACTATACACTTGACCACTAAATTTCATAATAATAATGATGACATTTTCGCTGTGCTAATTAAAATAGAAGGTTTTCAATCTCAGACTAACGCAAATTTGTCTTTTATCTGAATCTTTAGGTTTGAACAAACGAGCGACTAGCAAAAGTTTATGTCGGACTTGTCGGTTCACTGGTAACAAGCTGGTAACCAGTCGAAACCAGCTGTGTACGTGACTACGTGTTAATGTGCATAAATGCAACGATAGTCGATACTCATGATATCGATACTTTTCCGCCAAGTCATTGCCTGATTCTACTTGTAGTCGCTGTGGTTATAAAAATGGTCATGTTCCGATGTTTATCTATTTTTTTCACATCGACAAATCTGTATCATTTAAAAATTAAAACTCATTGGAAAACAGTGATAAATGCCTCATAAATTGTCGGCGATTTCAAGTTGGAATACATTCGATTCTTGCGTTCGAAAATATCGATTCAAAATTAGTATCGATAGTCGCCAACACAACAATCATGGATACTCATCACTCGGGTGTGTAAACAACGTTTCCCGCATCGCTATTTTTGATTTTTAGAAGACGTACATGTATGTTTATTAGCTGATTCACCAACAAATAACACAAATGTTCACCACGTGACGAACTAGCCACTTGAAGAGACAACATGGCCGCCTCGTCGGGATCCACGACAAAATCTGAGTTTATAGTGGGCGGGAAATACAAGCTGGTGAGGAAAATTGGCAGCGGGTCGTTCGGCGATATTTATTTAGGAATCAACATCGGCAATGGCGATGTGAGTATGGATCCGGGAAAGAAAGGGATTTTTAATTACTTGTGCGGCATTGTTTTCCTTGATAACGTTTTTACTTTTTTTTGTTTTTTAGTTTTTTACTGTTAGTCTTTCCTTCTTTTACAAATTACAAATGAATTACATAATTCATGATCCATTAAACATTATTAGTTATACAGCTGTACATACAGTCGACTCTCGTTAACGTATAACAAGGTCGATGGGACTAGCCAACTTACCTCTTTATAACAGGAATGTTGTTATAAAAGGACAACAAAGAAACACAAAGAGAACCTGAGTTTTTGGGACCTCAGAATTTGCTCTTTTTACATGTTATAAGCAGAACCTCTTTATTAGCTCTACTGAGTGGAGCGCTGAATTACGGGTACCCCTCCATACTAGCGCTCCACCGATTCACCATACTTTGGTAGCACCATCACAGTAGCATAGTCAAAAACCCACGCGAGGACAAAAAGACCCCAAAAACCGGTAAAGAGATTACAAATGAGAGAGACATTTATCCTGGATTGAAGATACATTCTTGACATCCCATGAGACCCCTTATATTGTTCCCAAACAGCGAACATTTTGGAAAAAAACAGGAAAATAGTCTGAAAACTTACAGTTCAATGTGTTTGCATGGAGGTTCAGTTCTTGAATTAGCTTGTCACTGAGGGCGTCTGACGTGACGTCACCGTCGTTGCTCGATCGATCGTGAAGAAAAACAAGTCGCGCTTTATCAACGACTGTTTCGTGTAATAATACGTGCTCCGATCCGCGCCGCGCCGTACGACAGTATGGGCTTTGAACACACCCAAGGAGCACGTATTATTACACAAAACAGTCGCAGATAAAGTGCGACTTGTTTTTCTTCGCGATCGAGCAACGACGGTGACGTCACGTCAGACGCCCTCAGCGACAAGCTAATTCAAGAACTGAACCTCCATGCAAACACATTGAACTGTAAGTTTTCAGACTATTTTCCTGTTTTTTTCCAAAATGTTCGCTGTTTGGGAACAATATAAGGGGTCTCATGGGATGTCAAGAATGTATAGATCAATCCAGGATAACTGTCTCTCTCATTTGTAATCTCTTTACCGTTTTTTTTGGGTCTTTTTGTCCTCGCGTGGGTTTTTGACTATGCTACTGTGAATGTGATGGTGCTACCAAAGTATGGTGAATCAGTGGAGCGCTAGTATGGAGGGGTACCCGTAATTCAGCGCTCCACTCAGTAGAGCTACCTCTTTATAAAAGTGCTCTTTTAGTTTTATCATGTTTATATGAGAGTCGACTGTACATGTTATATTCCTTCACACTTTTTGTTTTTCCATTGCCCCAATACTGCGGTGTGGTCGCGGTATTGCTGTGCTGTACGTACCTCTGGCCACACGTCAGGTTCTTCACACAATATTCATAAATACCTTAGACAGTTTAGCCATTCCTATTGGTCGAGAGCCCGTCACGTGGCCGGTCTTAAACGGATGATAAAGACATGGCTAGCTGGTCTTAAACACTTTTCCAGTGTCACAATAAAATGTGGACTCCTAAAAATCCAGTGCCTCTTATCGTTTCATTGGTTGAACGTTCACAATCCCCACGTAGGCATGCGCAACACTACCAGGGAGTCACAATTTTATAGTTCTAAATTCAAAACGCAACGCGCCAGGTGCGTTCTGCGCGACAACGCGCAGAACATGATACGCGCGCGTCAATCTCCATAAAAGGGTTGTTTACATCTTACTCGCCAGCTGAACACTCCATTAGTTTGCAAGAGGGTATTTCAAAAAGCATAAAGTGAATTTGTTGAACAAAATCGGGATGTTTTGAACGAAGTATATGATTTTTTCTTACCGAAAAGGTATTTATGAATGGGAATAAATATGTGCTCCGTCGGTATTTATCACTCTGTTTAAGACCACTTAGAGTCTGGGTGATGATAATTACCCTCGCCTCCGGCTCGGGTAATTATCAGCACCCAGACTCTAAGTGGTATTAAACAGAGTGATAAAAACCTCCGAAGCACACATTTATTCCCTTAGTACTAGCCTACTGAGGAGTTTGTCAAAAAATACGCAATTTTTCTTACATGATATGGTCATGGTGATGGTTGGTTCTTGTATAGTCCGAGTAACTACATGTAGGACTCTACGGATCGCTTTTTTAACATTTGGACATGGTCGGGCGATCCTAGTTCTTGTACATGTACAGTCTCTCAACTGATAGTATAATAATATGGCGTGCAGTCATACTAGTCCGAGTAACAAGGACTCTATGAATCGCCTATTCTAACATTTGGAGATGGTCGGCGATAGTAGGGTCGTAGGATTGAAGTACATGGCGGTATCAATCATTGGTCACCTGGATTGGTCACCATGGCGACCAATCAAAGTGCCCTGTGATTGTTCTGTCTGATGCCAGTAAATTTTTCCTGAATTCAAAATGGCAGCCCCAGCCTCCAACAAGGCGTTTGTGACATTGACAAGGATGTTTCCTGAATTGAAGGTGACATTTCTCTTTTCTTCCCGAAGGAACCTAACCACCACCATTTGCTCTGAAGCCTACAGGGGCGCATCAGGCACTTTGTCTTTGAGGACTGTTTTGGGGGTGAAATCTGAAGATTTTGATTGGGGGTATGAGTGAAAATGGTCAAAATAGGTTATTGGTATCGCTATGTACTCGAAGATCCTAGGACCCTACTATCGCCTGACCATCTCCAAATGTTAAAAAAGGCGATTCGTAGTTACTCGGACTACAGCCATACACTGTATGGGCGAATCAAATGTACAAGAAAAGGCTGTGGCATTGCAACTCGCGCGCCTGAGCGACAAGATCGATTTGCATAACACGACGCCACAGCTTTGGGGTCACGCTTCTTACATTCAAAATGGCTGCCATCAACAGACGATTTTCGTGTGCATATGGGCTCCACAAAGATGCCTAAATTTCTCAAAAAATTGGATATTAGGACACCTAAGCATCCCAGAGGAGAACAGCTGAGACATCATAGAATACAACCATATAAGAAACATGCGTATTTTTTTGATAAACTCCTCAGTAGTGGGGAGAACCTGGCGTGTGGCCAGAGATACAGCACAGCAATACCACGGCCAAACTAGTGGGGCTACATTTATAAACAACAAATCCTAACGAAAACATGTACATGTACAACCAGTATCCAGACAACTTGACCGTTTGCCAAGTCAACTCGAACCAACTTGACTGTTGACTGTCGAGACAACTCATCTGTTGTGACAACTTTACAGTCTTTGAACAGATTGAACAGGTCGAGTTAAACGTGGACAAAACACGGCCGTCAGAAGCATCAACATCTGGGACTGGGTAGAGTGATTGTTACCTTTGATTCCTCAGGATCTAACGTTTTCTAAGGGTCTAGAGATCGGGGCGTAGTGACTGTCATTGACAGTTCTTCAGCATTCCAGACTCGAGAAGTTCTTGAGTCTGCAGTGCCAAATGGTAATAAAAAAATAGAATCATCCTGACCATTGAGTTTCAAGAACAAAGGTCTGGGAGCTATTGATGTAATGTAAAAAATTCCTGGATGTCCGCACCCACTTGTGTTGTTATAATATAAGGTAGCTCATACTCCAAATTTCTTTTTTCTTTCTATTTTTTTAAGACAAAGTTTTTCTCCATCTTTAATGGCCTTATAATTTAATTTTGGGTTTTTTTCAGAGTAAACATGGTAAAGTCATTCAAGAGTAGGTGTACGGTACATGTGTTCCGGTACATGTATGTGCAAAGAATGTGATTTTGATTAAGTTCAAGGCTACCCTTTACATACATGCTGCTGTTGCTGCATAGCCCAAGGTTTATTTTGCTTTCAGTTTCAAATGTTCATGATACTGTAACCTACCACATGTTAATTTAGTTACGGACATCGCACATGAATTGCATTTTGCATGTACGTGGTAACTTGTATACACACATGTACATCTACATAAATGTACTCAATCACATTCAGTTATATTGTGAAAATTACTGATCTGAGGAGAAAAATATTAAATATATTAAAAAGTACCAAAGGAGCAACTTTTATTTACCAAAAGTTTCACACAAACAATTGTCATTAAACAGTGCAATTATTTTTGTTTTAAAGATAATATTATAAAACGTTTGCTTTTGCTGTAATTTTCAGAAATGGTTGTATTTGGTGGTTAGCATTGTATATAGCAAATATTGTTACACTGACATGTTTAAAGTTTTGTCTTAATTGGATGCTGGAAAAACCAAGAAAAAAAATGTTGTTATTGTAGTCTGTTGTTGTTGTTGTGTGTACATAGATTATGTGTTAATTTAAAGGGAATATACATCATTTGCTTTTGCTGTAATTTTCAGAAATGGATGGAATTGGGGGGTTGGAAATATATAGCAAATATAGTTACACTGACTTTTTTGAGGTTTTGGGTTCGAAAATGCTATAAAAACCAAGAAAAACAATCATTTTCCTGTAGTCTGGTTCCCTGACTCCATTTAAGAAGAAACAGAGCAGTTTACATACATTGGGGAATTGTAAGGTCAGGGAACCAGTCTAGCTGGCTTGTACCCGTTCATAGGTGTGTAAAAAGCCAGTTTTTTCCAACGCTGGTCGGTCGATCAGCGTTGGAAATTGATACAAAAAAAACACTTTTCTTGAAAATGACAGTATACCAGGTGCCATGATTTTACAGGATGCTTTACATTGTCCTTCACTAACAGTCCATGCAGCAAGGTATTTCAAAATGATTTGGTAGTTTTATTTTTTGATGTTTGCAAATGTTGTATTTTCCCTTTAATTCAAAGTTCCTTCGTTCTATCTTGCTGTCTATAGGAGGTTGCTGTCAAGTTAGAATCACACAAAGCAAGGCATCCACAGCTTCTATATGAAAGCAAACTCTACAAAATACTGCAGGGAGGAATTGGAATTCCAAAAATCAGGCAAGTAGATATCTGCTTTTTATGGGGGGGGGGGGTTTTGCCTTTTTTTTGTGTAGGTGTTTCCCCCCCCCCCCATTGTGTACATAACAGTGGGAGAACTATATGTCAACATCCTGTGCATGAACAAACAAAACAAAATAAATTGTACCCACTAGTACAAATTGTCCAGACCCTGACAAATGACAAACGGAAGTTTTAGTGAATTTTGAGCTTTCAAAAAATTTAACCAAGCAAATCCTTTTGTGTGTGGGGAAAAAATATGAACAGCAATTGGAAAATTCCCACTGTTAGACAATGAATACACCGCCTGCATTGATTTCAGGATACTAGAATTCTAGAAATCCACTTCGCACCTTTTTTCTGTGGTGTGCATTCATCAAAGCATTTCCCAACCCATTACCCAACAGTCATGATAGTACAAAGCGTTTAAGTATATCGCTTTATGTTCAATGAATCATGCACTGTATTGGCCTTTGCTGACTACGTGGAAGTACGTGTACAGTACATACATGTAGACAAAAGAGGGTGGAGTGCCCACAGACTTTGTTTGACTCACAAAAGTAGCTGTGCGCTCTAGTGATTTTGTATACTTGTGAAACATGTGGAGTGATTAAAGAATGGAGCTTTTATGTACATTTGTACATGTGACATTAATTTTGAACATGTTGGAGGTCATGTAGGCGTACACTTACTTGTTCAACTCAAGTACAGGTTTACGTGTAACATGTGCATGTATCAACTGTACTTCTACACATGTATACGTACACATTGACAAGTGTAAATACACATGTACATGTACATGTATTTGAACATGTACATTTTGTACACTACTGTACACTAGCTAAAATTGAGATTTTGGAAAGTACACGTTTTGTTTTGTATCTTTTTTGTTTTATATTTGGGGGGGGGGGTTGATGGGGAAGGGGTTAGTTTGTTTTCAGCAGGACAACTTTTGGGGGGAATGTTCACTTTGTTAATGTGACTTCAATGTTTATTCACTCCCATTTTTTTAAGGGGGGGGGGGCACTACTATCATTCCTGTTTGTGAACATAATTATGACTTGTTTAGAGATCACAATGTACTTGTTGTATACATGTGTGATTATGTACATGTTCATGAACATTGTTATTTATTGTACAGAAAATGGTGGCAATTTCGTATTAACCCTAACTCCCTAGCGTCTTTTACTAGGAACTGGACCAAATCCATCGAAATCCATCAATCACTGTGCGTCCAATACTAAACTGTACATGACATAATGGAATCCACCACTGACGCACTGGTTGACATTCATAGACTTGTTACACATGGCTTTTATCCCAATAGCAGTACAGGAAGCTAGACAAAATCAATCGGATACCCCTAGCACTGCTTCAGGCCATTAGGCCCAAGTCCATCATACTCCATCAATATTTAGTCACGCCAGGCCTTCTGGACCAAGTCCCCCAAAATCCACCAAAATGGGGGGATGGATTTTGATGGAGTTGGGGTGGTTAGGGTTAAGGAACGTTGTACATGTACATACCGGGTACGTGTAAATGTACATGTACATGTACGTTTACAGTTTGAACATGTACAGGTACGGTACATAATTTGTTCACTGTAGAACATGTAGAAAGTGAAGGTGTGTTACATGTACATACATGTACATACGTGTAGGCATTTCCGTGGCTGGATCAGTACATGTACATATGGCTAATAATAAGGATTTCCTCAATCGTCACATACTGGTACATGTATGTCACATGGGTTGTTATCGTTGTTGCGTCACTGTAGATGATTAATACTCTAAAATGTGTACCTTTGGTTTTAACTTATGGACATCTTCACGCAAAAACTTGAGTCTATGTTGAGCTGATTTGTTATGTTGAAGAAAATTTACCTTTTTCTAGAGTGCTGTAATTTTGTACATGTTCTGTCATGACTGTGCATGTATATCTTTTTTTTAATAAAAAAAAGAAAGAATACATGTAGCTCTAGACGCAGATGACATTGGGAAAATGTTTGACACAAAAAAAATGCATTCAATGTGGCATTTCCATTATTATTGGAAGACCAAACGTCATGGCTCAGCTAAGCGTTAGCAAAAGAGAATATTACATGCTTCATGTACCGTACAATTATCATATGTTGTAGGACAGCAAGGAATGATGGTTTATGCCGGCGCTGTTAGCACAGATTGGTGATCGCAAGCGTGACATTCTGTGACTAGCCGAGCTGTGAAATTGTGCCCTGCGCTTCTTCTTTTTATGTCGTAATCTCTACTAATTTTCTTCTGCCTGTATTGTTGATATTTTCAGTTGGTATGGCAACGAGAAGGATTACAACGTCCTGGTCATGGATTTACTGGGACCGAGTCTGGAGGACCTGTTCAATTTCTGCAGCCGCAAGTTTACGATGAAGACGGTCTTAATGTTAGCCGACCAGGTGAGCGGTTTGTTCATGTTGTTCTGTTCCTGGAGCCCATTTCAAGTCGTTACGGACTCCGTGCAAGAACAAGAGAGGGCGCTTTCTGACCACTTTCGGGAGCCTAGTGGACAGGACGCACTGCGTTTGCACACACAGCCTCACACGCGTGTTTACATTACATACCCTATGTGGACATTCCTTTGTTTTCGCACAATTAAAGGAAAACCGGAGGAAACTTTTTTTTTACTCACACTGTGAAAACTCTCAGATATTTTATCCTGATTTCCTTGAGTGTTCCTCTGCATTTTGCGACAGATGACCCTAACCCATAAATGCCTCTAAACCTGTTTTCCAGAGAGGGTGAAACCTTATGTGGACCTGGCTTGGTCCACATAGCGTTCACACAACCTGCGTTATGTGGACCTGTTTTGTTGTCAGGTCCACATAAAGATGGTAAGGTTGGTACACACATGCTCATGGGGAAGACCTTTGTTACCCTTCTTTTGTTTTCCTTTGTTCCTATTGAAATCTCAAACTCCATAGCGTTTCCCTTGGGGTAGATTGTTTTCGCTGTGGGGAAGATAAGCCCTTTTCACACTAGAGCCTCTCAACCCGGGTTCAACTCAACCCTGAGCGAACCCAGTGCCGCCTTGGGTTGAGTTTTCGATTTTTCAACCCCGCGTTCAACCCCGCATCGTTTCACACTTGTTTCATGAAAATCAAGCTTATCATGCTCAGTTACTACTGTTTCGAACTCTGGCAAGAATTTCAACCCACGTTGAAAATCTCAACCCTGGTCTAGAGTAGGGTTGAGTTCAACCCTGGGCGAAATCAATCTCGGGGTTGACGCAGGGTTGAAATTCTTCAAGTGTGAAACGATGCATGTTTTCAACCCTGCGTCAACCCTGTGTCAACCCCGCGATTTGTCTAGTGTGAAAAGGGCTAATGAGCCTATTGTTCCATTGTGTTTTCTACCCCACAAGGAACCCTGTACATGTTCGTACTGGTTGGTGTGTGTATCTAGCGCAAAACTAATGTGCGCAAGACTTATTTTATTCTAAATGTGCACAAAGTCTTTGCGTGAGCGTCAGGCGTCGTCAGCAGTGCGTTCGAATCTCTCTCCCAGTTGTCTTCCCTAACTCTCCCTTGTTTTAACAGTTGATGGGGGTACTTGTTGTGTTGCATCCGGTACATGTGTAAAGTTGTTCTCCTTTATTATACTTGTGTTCTTTTGGGCATGCTTTGCTTTTATTCAGATGATCAGTCGTATTGAGTTTGTCCACGGCAAGAACTTCATCCACAGGGACATCAAACCAGATAACTTCCTGATGGGCATCGGCAAACACTGCAATCAGGTGTGATTGACATAATACCAATCTTGGCCATTGTGTAGTTACGGGCCCAGCTTTAAAGCTAAAGTCCATCATTTGCAGCTATCCAAAAAGTAACCGACGTAATAAGAATTGAAAAACATACTCGGTTGAAAGATAGTAAGGGGACTAAACTCCCTGTGAAATTATTCTTTCTAGCATGCTGTCAGTTTGAAGAAATCAACAAAACAAGGCCTTTCAAACGATGCATCTAAAGACGCATCGTTGGAAATTTTCGTTAGTAGTTCGGTTTTTATTCGGCAAAGCACGCGCAAGCGTTGACACGACGCACACGCGCGCGGTTGCTTTAATTCGTCGGATCAGTGTGCGACATCAGGTAACTGCAACCGGCTCAGTGAGAGCGTGTCTCGGACTCTGAATTCAGGCCCAATTCAAAACATGATTTAGCAACTCTTGATTTGAAATCGAGATCCTAGAATGTTGTTTTTCTCGAAATAAACAGCTGAAGCTGAGCTGAAACTTCATCAGATTAGTTGTTCAGCTCCCTTCTTTAGATTTTGAGCATGTTTGTTGCTTCAAACGAACAAAATGCTCAAATTACAAATGATGGACTGTACCTTTAATTTTAGTCAAGTTAGAGTCAAGAGTGGTTTTTTTAATCACTCCAAAAATGACTTCTGCATCCTAAAGCAGATTTTTCTTAATTAAAATAACGCACTGACTAAAAAAAAAAAAACCAAACCCTGCCCTCAATCCACGACGCTCCCATCGGTTTTAAATGTTGAGGACAAGTTTGGTAATCCCAATATTATTATTATTACCATTTATTGGCGCTTTGTGTCATAAATTGTCTAAACTGTCAATTTGGTTGTTGTTTTTTTGTATCATCATAGCTCTTCATCATTGACTTTGGACTGGCCAAGAAGTACCGTGACAGCCGGTCCAAGTCACACATCCCATACAGGGAAGACAAAAACCTGACTGGGACAGCGAGATATGCCAGCATCAATGCGCATCTGGGGATTGAACAGAGGTGAGGAAATATCTTCCTTGTCACCTTCAAAAATGAAACTACGGTGAATAAATTTAGAAGCCATTTTTGAGGTAAAACCTAGCCTGTGCTCAGGTACATGTAGTATGCACGCACTCCGGGCTCCATCAACCAATAGGGTTACCAAAATGCGCGCATACCTCGTCTTTAAGAATGCACGTGGCATACATGCAGACGTGGTTCTACCTCAAAAATGGTTTCTCATTTTGTTCGCCACATTAGTCTATAACGACACATGAAGTGTATGTTAAACTCGATTTACAATTCAAAATACGTGTATCTTATAATGGATTGATGTATCTTGTATGGATTGATTTCACAGGATGCTTGAGACTGTTATTCTCTTACAGTCAAGTAAAGCATTTCATAATAATTTGGTAGTTTTGTTGTATACCTTTATTAAGTTTCATAGCCATGGAGTTAAGAGAGCAGTTGAGGAGCAGCTGTTAACTCCACCAAAAGCCTTCCACCCAAAAAAAAAAGCAATGACAAAACGGAGGGGTGGATAGCTCAGTTAGTAGAGCACCGGTGCAGTATTCCAGAAGTCGCAAGTTCAAACCCCACACAAGCATGTCCAGTCAATATCTCTGTTCAGCTTTCAAATTATTATATAATGCACTTAGTCAGTTGCCCTTGTGGTTTATTTGATTATTCAGGGGAAAAAAACATGAAATTGAGAACCATATAGAAACGTAGGCATTTGTGAGTGATTGTCTTGCTCCTCATGACATTGATTATCTGTGAAATAAACTCTTTCCTTTGCTGATGTGTTCAGTCGGCGCGATGACATGGAGTCCCTTGGCTACGTACTGATGTACTTCAACAGAACCACTCTACCCTGGCAAGGTCTGAAAGCTGCCACCAAGAAACAGAAGTATGAGAAGATCAGTGAGAAGAAGATGTCCACACCGGTAGAGGTGCTGTGTAAAGTGAGTTTTACCTGAAAACGTCTGACAGTTCTTGTCTTGTCAAGGCCAGAAAACGTGAAAGATGCCTGCTATTACAGCGTGTGTCAATAAAAACGCAGGATTAGAAACAAAAATATTAAGAATATAAACCACCCCTATTCATCATAATGTTAACCCTCTTTTCAAAGTACCTTTCCTTCTCTTCACTATGCTTTTTATCCCATCTCATTTGGACAATCCTGTCCAGAGATAGAGTACATTGAAGAAGGGTTATAAATTCCAAGCTGGTCTGATTTGTGAAATCACACATACCTAATGAAAGGTTTGAATTCAGTACAGGTGAAAGTATTTGTGGATCACAAAGAAGGACATGTGTGGCAGGATTAGGCTTACATAATCCTTTAGTCCACAATCAATGTTATTAGTCAATAATTCATGATGCTTTGAAACAATGATAGTCCAGTTATTAAATTTAAGTGATACTTATCATCAGTTGTTTCAAAGAAAGTTTTGTTCTGGTTTAATTGTCTTCAATGCATACCTGCATTGTACATAACTGGTCGTTGTGTTAAGGTCATTGAATCAGACCAACCCGCTTCAGAAGGGCTTCACAAAACTTGTCATAACTTTTGAACCAAAAGTCCAAATTCCACCAAACAAAAATCTTGTCAAAAATGAAATTATGGACAATCAAATCCTTATCAAATTAGGCACACCAGTAGCATAATTTTCTCAGAAAAAAAATTGCTTTGAATCCTGCGTTTTTATTGACACACGCTGTAGTAGCTTGAAACATTGCTGAACTGCAGACATGTATAAGAGTCATTTGTGCAATGAATATACTTAAAGAGCACATGCGATGTAATTTTTTTTAATGCAATCCTTGGAAATACACCTTTGTGTCCCATTAAACCCAATATTCAGTTTTCATTTTGCCATTTTCAAGGGTATTTGGGTGCCCTTTTTGGTGTTTATGCCAATGCAAATTTCCATCTTTTTGAGCAAAAGTGTGATGTCATTTCAGGCAGAAACTTCAATGTTACAGCTATTTCAGCACCAAAATTGCCAGAACTTTTGATATTTTGCTGGCGTAAATTTCCTTTTCTTTTGTGATTCGTTGTTGTGTCAAAACATGACAGTAAGCCAATGAGCAAACTTCTCTCACAAATATTTTCAATAAGCAAGTTTTTTAGTTCACAATTTGAACAGAAGACCAAAAAGTGAAGTGTCTTCCTGAAATGACATCACAGCAACAGGGCCCTCAGTTTTCCAGAAAAGCATGGAAAATTTTAAATGTTTAAAGAAGTGCACTTTTCCATAAAATTAACCAAAAAGGGATGTCAAATATGTTTCATGCATTTAAGAGGAGTAGAAAGTTGCACAAATATGTTTCTAAGAAATATTCACTTCATGGACCCTTTAATGTCACTTATCACAAATGCGTTATAATTTTCAACCAACTCTGAAGATGATCACAGCTTTTTGTGGGGGGGGGAGTTTGAAAGTGTACAGGCTTTATGACAATCAGGATTAGTCAGTTAAATTTTTTTTTAAAGTTTGTTACACTCACACCGTAACTTAATTCTCCTGAAACGATTTTGTAAGTTGAGTCGTATGTTTATTACCCAATCTCCATGGTAGGGCTTCCCTGCTGAGTTTTCCATGTACCTCAACTATGCACGGGGTCTGCGCTTTGACGAGGCCGTCGACTACATGTACCTGCGCCAGCTGTTCCGCATCCTGTTCCGCACCCTCAACCACCAGTACGATTACATCTTCGACTGGACCCTGCTCAAGCAGAAGGTGGCCCTGCCCCCGAGCCACCCCAGCACGGCCAACCACATGACGGCTCAGGGCACGCGCCAGTCCGAGAGTAGAAACATGAGCCGGCGCTGATCAGCTCCTTTCGCTGAATAATGGATTTGGTGGTCTCCCGGAACACATCTGAGGTGGTGCTCTGAAATGATGCTGAGGCGTACTGTCTAACTGTACTCCAAGGTGTGGTGATTTAACAGATGCGTTCTGATTTGCAAACAAAAGACAGAGACTTCAAATGCATGCACATTTTGTAATGTGCGCGGGATGCCACTGAAAGGAGTTTGATTTTCAATCTACTGATCACCACCTTGTGATTTTAAACAGAAACAAATGAGAGTGTTGTAAACAGCATCTGAAATAAACAGTCAGTTGTCTTAAGTTGTACAAAAACAAAATGAGCCCCACGTTCATGTTATGGTCCCAGAACCCAGCACGGGTCACGATGCACCATTGTCTATATATTCTTCATTTTGTGAATATTGTAAATTATTGCGTAATGCACATAAGCTGTCTGATACGTCCGAATTTTCAAGCAATTTTTTTTTCAATGAGGCATTTTTTTATACCGCTTAAGCTTAACTTGACCAAATAACCCTAATTTAAGTCCGGGGTTTTCGTTTTCTTGGTCTTTGTAAATGAGATCTTTTTGACATCTAAAACAATTGGGTTTTGTGGTTTCAGTTGTGGAGAAGTACCATTTTCCACATTGTGTAGCAATCTTTGAATTGATATTATCTTTTTTTCATGAGCTTTGGATGCGTAGGTGTGTTTGGTTAACTTTTTTTGTTGCGGATAAAAAGACTGTGAGAATTTGAATATCAAAGCTTTTTTAGGGAGCTCTCAACTACTTAAATTACATGTTAAAGGTACGTAGGATAATGTGTTGCAAACCCGACCCGAAATGGACTTCGATTTAGATTGGGTTAGTTTTTCCATCATTTCAGTTGGGTCGGGTCGATTTCGGTTTAGCGTTTGTGATTTTTAGGTCGGGTCGGGTCGGTTTAAACCATCTTGTGAAAACCCGAAACAAACTGGAAAGAAAAACCTGAAACAGTTCGGAAATTCACATGGTGCAATATCTTACTACCTTGTCAACCAACCACACAATTGTGCATGTGGTTTGCGGCCTAGTCTATAATGTGTAGGCCCACCGGTATGTCACGTTAAGTGTGTTCGCTGTACCGTACGGTACGATTCTTTGCTGAGAGACGACGGTTTTCAAAACAATTCACGCAACGTGGGTAGACGCGCTGGGTGGACAACATCCGAGAATGGTCAGGGTGTGACACCACCGCACTGAAAGCAGCAGCACTGGAAAGACGGGCTGTGGTGGGAGCGGAGCCAGAGATTCCAGCTGTGTACAATTTGAGGAGGACACCAGTGGCAAATGCCTTTGTCTAATGAAGGAATGAATGAGTTCTGGCACAAAAAGTGACACAATGTTCGTGAAACAAAGGACACTTTGCCCAAGCCAGATATTCGTTTGTTTTTTCTGGTCGGTTCGGTTTTCCCCCTGATTTTTTGTCGGGTCGGGATTTTTGTTTTTCGTAACATGCTGAAAATCTTAAATAGGGTGCATAACAAATACATATAACATGTGCAAAGTGTCGCTCCGTGGTTTCCTACACATTTTGAGAAAAAAAAGTGAAAACATAGAAGCTGTTACTGCATTGGTATCACGCTTATGCGCATGCTGCACGCATTCTTAAAGACAAAGCCTGCGCAAATTTTGGGAACCTATCATCCCTTTGATCAAGGTTTTCTCATTAAATTGGTGGGCCCATTTCCGGGTAATTACTTATTTTCCTACGTGTCTTTAAACAGGTAATACATCTGCAATTGAATAAATGGTGATTGCTTGATTTCTTTTCTTTCTTTGCTTCTACATTTTGGGACTTTTTAAATTATTTTTTTTTTTTTTGTAAAAAAATTGAGGTGCTCAGATTTAGATTAGTTAACTTTGATTAGACATTAAGAAAAGAAGCCAATGAAGACTAGCACTCCTTTTGAATGCTTGCCTGAAATAAATGTTTATTAAATCGGGTATCCTTGAACAAAGGTCTGCACATAATGCCAAATAACGATACAGCATTACGGCACTTTGGAATACTTACTGTACTGCAAAAATTGAACCAGTGTAAAATGGAGTTTTGTGTACATTAAATATGCATGCACTGTTTCCACTTATCAGTGCAGTCATGTAAATACACATGTAATGGTGATGTTTTACGTCCCGGCCCCCAAAAAATGCAAAATCCAGTAACAATGGTCATGTACATATTTAATGCTGTTATTCTTTTTTTTGGCCTGCAATACTGTACCTGTATTTGATTACTTTTTACAAGTATGTTATATTTATTCTGTTCATACAACATGTAATTGAATGATTGTGTATTAATTAAAAATTTGTCCAAAACACCTGTGGATGAAGGTAATGGGCAATGTGAGAGTTTGAAGTGAAGACGATGCCGGTACTTTTGAACTTTTAGAGACTCTTTTTTTTTAGTTGGCTTTACGTTTTTTTCACCTATTAAAGTCAACTTATGCAATTCTGTTGTATTTTGTTTTAAGTACTGTGGTTCCAGTCCAGGGTTTCAGGGGTAAGGGGGGGGGGTAAGGGATCCTCATTTTCTAAATTGGGACCTCACTTTCTAAATGGGGCACACATTGGCTTTGGTCATAGTTTCAAACAATCCAAGGCTCTTTTTTGCCTTCTCCAAAATCTGAGGGGGGGGGGTATCCCCCATTCCCCCTCCCCGGCCCCCTTCTTACACCACTGTATTTTCCCGCTAATATTTTAATACAAAAATACTCACATCTGATCAAAATTTGACCACTCCACAGATTTTCAAACAATTCAAGAAGGTAGTGTCAACAAATAATGCAGGTTTAAGAATCTCCTTTTATATAGACCCGAAATAAATTATTTGTCTCTAAAGAAGGTCTTGTTTGAAAGACCGAAACGTCAGGCCCTCTTAATTTTATTGATTTTTACAGTCGACTCTCTTTTTTTTCCCCTTTGTATTTTAGTTTCCAACTCTGCTACCTTTATTTTAGTTAACTTTCAAAATCTGCTGCCTGCACTCTCTGTGGTGGTTATCTTTGGGCCGCAAAAAAATAGGAAAATCATGGAGGAAAAAAAATGCCTGCTAAACGACCCCATCCCCACCCCATGACAACTAATTGGAGCAAAAAGTGGGCATGCCTCTACTGAAACTTTGCAATCTCTTCTTATCACACATTAAGCCCACCGGTCATCCTTTGGGAAAGAGTTCTATACTGGGCCAGAGTTCTGTCATGGCCCATAGACTTTGTGTAGGTCTGTGTGGTGGCCCAGTATGGAACTCTTTTCATCCTTTAAGTTGCAATACTAATCGAGTGCTAATATATAGACTCAAACGGCATCTGTTTTATTTCTTCATCACAAGACTTTGGGATTAATCATATTGTTTATGACGTACAGTGCAGTGTACATCATGTACGAGAAATATGGTATAAACCGAATGCCCAAGTAGGCCTACTTGTAAAGTGTACTTTGAACTCGTGGCATTGAGCATTTATAATTTTCACTACGAATAAAAATGTTAATTGTACCTAAGTTTTCTGTGACTGAATCTATATCTGTCAGCACCCATGTGCGAATGCTGCCGCTTAACCACAGGCTGCCTCAAGCCTAGCCTTCCCAATATCGGGAGGGTGGTCTTCAATCAGACTGAACGGGTTGGCAGTGTAACGATGAAACCTACCCTTGTTCGCCCAGCCACGCCCCAGCCTCGCCCCAGCCACGCCGTGGCTACGTACATAGAAGCTTGAGGATGTACACCGAACCTCTACTGGGATGAAGGGCACAGCAGTCGGCACAATAACCCTACCCTGACAAGAGCATCTCAGCTCAAGACGTTGGAATCAAACACACCACAGCAAAATCTCCGAAGGGGAGCCCGTTCTGGTTGGATGAACCAACCTGGGAAAGTCTCTCCCGGCTGCGCATCAGGTCAGGAGATGCCAATTATCCCGAGACATTGTGACAGAATGGTTAACGTCAGACTGTGTAACAGCTCCTCGTCTGCTCATGCCTTCAATGATCACAAGTCGAAGCAGATGAATGCTGTGATATCGCAACCCAATATGCAATGCATTGGAAATCCACCATCTGTCTCTGACGGGTAAGATGGACACGACGAAGGATAGAAGGTACAGAGAGACGTAGTTGAGTTGCTGTATTTGAGATATATTTCAAGTTGTTTTACATTTCCTTTCTCACATGCAAACTATAAAGTTACGTAATAATGTATAATTATGTCGAAAAATAAGTTTTGCATTGTGCAAATTCCGTATGAATATTGTTCAAATTCATGCCTCGCATGAGCTAGCTAGTCGGAGTAATAATACGAGTCTTATATATTAATATTGCCAACATCCGGGTCATCCGCCAAACATTCCCAAGGACGTATTTATACATGGATAAGCATTATAGAAAGGATGAACCAAACTACGATTAAAAATTAAAAGAACAAAATTTAATTAAGAAACCCAAAAACCTTAACTTGCATAAAGACAATAGAGCTACTTTGGGGTTAAAATTAAAATAATTCTAGGACCCCGTACAAAGACTCAGAATTTACCAAGATAAAACAAAATGTATTCATTAAAAATGAAAGGAAAAATCGTTTTAAAACGTCTAATAAATTTGTAAAAAGTAAGAATAAATTACTCGCTCACCAAATCGCATGAAAAAAGCAAGGCATTTCAAAAAGGCACTGAAGGAACTTTTTAAAGGATTGAATGATATTAAAATTTTAAAACATAAGTCGAAAGCCGAAAAATGCAAGGCAAATCGAACAGCATACCTTGCGGTTGATGACCACTTTATGGCGAAAGCTATAGCTGGCTGGAGTTGGAATGGACTTGGAGTGGGGGTGTAGCATGTTTATTTCAGTAATTCCATAAGTCTGGAATGCCTTTGTTTATTGAAGGAAATCTGTCCAATCTTTGATTAGACCAAGAAAATATATACCCATGAGCATTGCTCTTTCGGGTAGGCTACTATAGCAAACGTGTTTGGCGCACGTAAAGGCAGTTTGGCGCACGTAAAGGCAGTACATAGACGGCGCTACATCTGCAATGATACTTTTTTTCCTGCCAGTCTCTAATTTGAAGGGGAAAAAGTGATCGTGTTTTAATTTGCACATTATGACACGGGGGAAACAACTTTTTCTTGATCACTTGCTGATGCTTTTGCGTCCAACGAGTACTAGATAAACTTGCTTTGGGTCAAGTTGCCGACAAGTTCCGACGTTTTCAATGCGGCTATCTAAAGCCATGCACCCTCCACAGGTCGACCTGCGATTTTGCTTGAGCCGCGACGGATCGGAACACAGTCGTACCCTAACCGGCGCCAAGACGATTCCGCGGCATAGGTGACTTGTTCGAAATGGCGGCGCGCGCATGTTGATGACGGAAGGTCTTTCAAACTGCGATCGAGATTTTTCTGTAAAGATTGTAAACATGAGTAGGGTTTTAATTTACTTTATTTATTAAGCGCCTCAGCGAGCTACACAAGATCTTTACTTTCGTTTGGCATTTATACTCGAAAATTCTTTGATTCCTGTTTTGTACAAACATGTTTTCTCCTCTCATAAGACAATCAATTAAATATATAACAATTAAAGACAGTTTTATACTGTTGTGTGGGTCACATGCAATGGGAAAGTAGTTGCAGAGGTTGCGGATCAAAGAGGGCCGCGCCGACGTTGACCATGCAAGCAATCGTGGAGTGACTGATATGATTCATGTTTCGTTCAGCATCAAAATCCAGACTTGTCCAAATGAATGTCCATGTCGACTTGGTTTATGGCTTGTAGAGGAGGAACACACTAACTGCGCATTTGCGAAGTCCGGTGCTCCAGTCCAGGTGGAATCGCTCCTGGATGTACCTCTTCAGTTGTAAGTGAGAGTCTTTCATTACCCAGGTGTTAGTGCTACCATGCCACTCGCCTAGGCTTATCAACCCAGCCGGCTGGACAATGTCCTGCAGAAATGTCTCATTCTGGCTCTTGCGCAACCTCCAGGAAGGCGCGGCCCTTCTCTTAAGATAAAGCTCATCCATGTTGTCGATGAACAATACAACTGCACCTCGCTTGAGCTGCATGAGAAGTTTAGACACCGCGCACTGCCGAATATCGCGGCCGTCTCTCATGAACGCGATGAACGCGGAGAATGCCTTGACCATAGTCACCAAGTCGGCTTCCCTGATCTCCTCTTCCATTGCAGCCGTCGGTAGATCATCCAGGAGGTCGCAGCTGATGTACCTACAATATATCTGGCTCTCCCTGAGAACGGAGTTGCTTGCTCGGATGTCCTGCCATGTGCCTGTCCAGGCATCGGCGAACTTGTCGAGCACGTACCCGATGACTCGCTCGCTGGCCGGTTTGTCGAGGTACGACCTAAGAGACCTGAGATACACAAGGACCCCGATGACATCCGTGCCTGGGCCTCCACCGATAGAGCAGACGTTCACGCCCCTCTCCAGCCACTGCGTGGCGATGCCGAACGGCAGCAGCATCCACAGCATTTGGTAAATCAGATGGCAGTGCTTCGTAAGGTACTGGTACACGTACGCCACATGAAATGCGGGATCTTCGAAGTCTGGCTGCGGAAGGTAATGGGCTTTTCCTACCGTCTTGTACATCACAGACATGTTTTGTAGCGCGTTGGCCACTTGTTTCTCTGCGGACTGAGGTTGGCCAAATTCATCATACCTCCCCGTTTTGATCTTCATTAGAAGGGCAGGGAGTGCCTCGATGACTATTCTGGGTACGAGGGGTGGTGCCATTGGATTGCGTGCAGCAACAACACGAGTCCTGTCAAAATTGGCCGGCACTGCGACAGATGAGGTGCGGTTTTGTGCCATGGTTTTGTACTGTCAGTCTAATGATGGAGGATGAGCTGTATTGGCAAATTATAAAATAGAATATAATCGTCAAAGATGTCAATAGACAGCGGATTTCTTGTGTAAACATAGGTCTATACACGGTTGTTGCAATCGAAGTACATCAGGGAATAATCCCAATGAAAACCTTTTTAACAAAAATATTATTGGTCATGGTGCATAGTTATTGTTTCATTGATTTACGAGTATGGATTTTTCCATTTCGGTCAATACATTCATCTCATAGAAGGAAACAAATTGTGTCATTTATTTATTCAGCTTTAATATAGCCAGACAACCGAACCTCACACGCACTTTGGCCATGAGACAGGTTCATCGATGAACTTAATAGTAGTCGGCAAACCATCCTTCTCAGAGGTTTAAGAGCTATACCTCAATCTAATTTAAAATCGACATCATTTCCGCCCCCATGGGATCACATCAGGGGCGGATCCAGGTTTGGCTCCTTAGACGGGAGTTTAGCTGTTGGGGGGGGGGGGTGAGCAGGCATGTGCTAGTTCTGTTAGTTCTTTTTTTGCGTCGGGGGGGGGTGTAGGCTGAGAGATCCGCCACTGCAGTCTTGTGCTAGTTTAAACCATGGAGGAAGGAACATGTATTTTTCATTCCCAATCATGAACGGCGCTCATACCCAAAGATCCTATAGCGCCGTAGGCACTACCCCCTTTAATCCCTGTCCTGCCCCCACTGCATGCAGACTTCGATGTGCCTACGGATCACCAGAGCATGCAGAGGTTCCGAGAATTCGCCATGACACTGTGAGCGGAGTGATTTTATGCATCATGCAATCTTTGGGGCATGATTCAGTGATCGTTCCCTGAATCGATCGCTGCTTATTATAGTATGCCTTGTCTGGGTTAATGTGTTATTTTGTTGAAAACCTTCTGATGCAGCACATGCCATAATTATTTTTTGGACGCTGAGGCGTCGACTGTTACTCGACTCCGGCGGACGTGCCAGCATGCATGCATGAAGGAGAATGTCATGCATAAAACTCACCAAATTTGCAGCAAACGCTTACCCTAAAAAAGGAAGTAAAGATTACGGTAGCAAAATGGCTGAAATAAATCCGTAGAGATTGCCACAGCACAGTGCGAATATCAATCGTAGAGAAACAGCTCCAGCTGGCTGGACAGGTTCAAGGTTCGCGTGAGTTTCTCATCGTGCGATGATTCCTCAGAACGGGGAATTCCCCTCATCGACGCTGTGACGTCCATTTTTAACAGACGAGAACGGACTGACGGACAATCGCCTTTAGTATTGATACCTCCCCTTCCTATCCTCCTCCTTAGTTAGAGGGGTTTTATCCCAAAGATGGCATGTATCATGTGTAGGCCTTCCCCAAAACAATAGTAGTACCGGGCAGTATTAGGTCATAGGCGGTCTGGGCCCGCCCCTCCCGGCCGCCGTCGTCCTGTACTTAATGAATTATTTCTAGAGCGAATATTTATAGAGGGCGCTATTAAACGTAATAGTGTGCTAATGATGTGCAATATCGCAAGCAGATATACAATGTACATACATGTACATGTACAAAGTACAGATGCGTTGACTGTGCATGTTGACATGACCACACCATAACAAGCCACAACAATGTGGGCTCCAAATAGAGCCCAACAAGGAGATTGTCAGATAGTTGTATTTGTCGGCATACAGAGATTAAGATATGAGGATGGCGCCCGAGTGGGCTATTATTCCAGCCGAAAGAGCTAGCCAGATCGTACAGAGGAGCCGATATTTTATAGCACGGGCTTGAAAATGAAATTGAATGCCCGAAGATTGGATTGAACACCAGCCTATCTTTTGTGAGTGCTTGTTATATCTTTTGAGAATTACAACACAATTTGAAACCTGACTTACATGGAAAGAATGTTGCAGCCTGACGCCATTTCAGCGGTTGTGTACAAAGTCTATGGAGAGTCAAGAACATTTTCTAAGTAGCCTAGGCCTAACGAAAATATAAAAATTGGAAATGTTTCTCACTCAGTCCTACTCCGAAAATTTGGGACTGTATTGCTGGTGATGATGTGCTGTGTAATCACAGTGGCACTATGATCATCATAATGAATATTAATAATTAATATTATTATTAATAATGCCTCATTAGAATTTCTTCCTAAGCTGCCAAGGCTGCGCAGCGCATCTAAACAATGCAGTGGATATTTGGCCGGTCATGCCGCATAGGCATGATAGGCTATTAAACTGGTTTCCTTTTACCATGGAGGAATAAGAACTTATTCCTCCATGCTTTTACAGGCATGACACTCAGTGGGTTCGACGCTTGCCAAATCTAGTCAAAACAGCGGCGGGCAAAACTAACAATAACATGTGTAACTAGACTTATGTTTGTGGACAAACACAGGGCTGTTTCGGCAACTTTTTTTGTGATGTGTCATAAAGTTTAATGTATATAAGTTGCAACCAGAAGGAGGGGTCACGTTATTATGCACATAATATCAAAAATGAAGATCCTGGTTTATTCTGTCAACTCCCGTAAAAAGCAAAATCAGATCTCTCACTCATCACAGTTGATTTTATACTGATTTTCAAAGATTAAATCTAGAAATATTTGTTTGCTTGTTATCTAATACTTGATGATGTCATCATGACGTGATTACCAGAAAGCTTGAGAGCTATGATAACTGTGCGATTTGAAGTAAACATCTGGATTAAATCTCTCGCGTTTGATTTTTCAGCATTTTTTTAAGGTTTAAAGGTATTTTCTTGTAACTTCCGGTCTGGTGACGTCATCAATCTCCCCCTCCCCCCTTGTTCTTAACATGAAGCTGATTATATGCACGTATTCATTTATAAAGTGATTTTAGCAAACTTCGCCACGCGCATCAACTGATTATTCATTTTGAATTTTTCAACCTGCTGCTAGAGGGGGCTCTAACATTTTATGACATCACCGCAAATGTTTCTGTGAAGAACAACTTAGCCAGAGCATACATCGTTGAAAGCAAGTTCACATCTTTTACCAATTTTAAATTACAAGGCACTTCCGGTTTCACCCGGAAGGAAGGGTCACGTGATTTTGCACGTGATATCAAAAATGAAGACCCTGGATTATTCAATTCCCGCAAAAATCAATTTCAGGTCTCTCACGGTTGATTTTATATTGATATTTAAAGATTAAATCTGTTAAACTTAAACGTGACGTCACGTGACCCATGATGATGTCATCATGACGTCACTTCAATTTTCATGTATTACACATCCTGGCCTAGGTACGTGCATTGCATTACACAACACACAGGACCTACGGCTTTACATGTAGATTTCCGTCCCATCCGAAGGACGAAACAATAAAGGTTAAGTGCCTTGCTTAAGGGCACAAGTGTCCAGACCCGGGCTCGAACCCACATTCTGCTGCCTCTGAAACACCAGAGCATGAGTCCGGTGCGGTGCTCTTAACCGCTAGGCCATGACACTCCACTATGGAACAGTTGTTGTACATAGTTTTGAGTTGTTTGCTCCAAATCCATTGAATCTTTCTTTCTGTATTTGCTTACAGATCGTGCAGTGGATGAAACTCAGCATGTAGAAACAACTGTCTTCGGCTCTCTCACACTGTAAACATAAAATGTCAAATTTGTACTTGAGATGCTTGGTGCTGCCTGATGGTACGACTTGAGACATCGCACAGCCCTCCATGAGGATAGTCACAGACAGAGCCCTATTATAATTTTCTCATATCTGCAGCGATGATTTGAACGATACCTTGAAATTAGTTTCGAAAACCCTGTGGACAGCCAAAAAAGAATTGACGCATGTGCCAGTTGTTCTAAGTTGTGAGTTGCTTTAAGCATTTCTCCTTTGAAATTGGAACCTGACGAAAAGTTTTCAAGATGTCTGACTCGGAAGGCGAGGGACCTCAGCGCGAGCAGCAGCTGAAGATTGTCATACTGGGAGATGGTGCTTCGGGAAAGGTAAACCCATCTTAACTTTAACCCTATTCACTGCCAGTTCCTGCCAAATCTATCAGGGAGTGTATGACAGCCTATAGCCTCATAAATATGTCTGAGATCCAGACTTCCTTGGTCTTTAGTCCACACAAGTGTGATGCGTACTAAATTTCCTGACATTGTGTTCCCTGAATTTGAAGTCTCGATTGTTATTTTCATCTGATCTTCACAATTGAAATAACTTATCTGTTTAATAACTCAGGAAAATCAAAAGGTCAAAGGTGCATGACCCCTGACCTCGAGAAAAATTCTGCAATCAGTTGGGACAAACTCTCAAAACCGTACGGAATTCAATTTTTCCTGGTTATCTCCAGGTTTCAGTAAGTTCCTTTATGAAACAGAAAGTCAAGTGAAAACAAACAGTCTAGATTTCAAAATTAAGAACACAACTTTTCAGGAATTTGTCCACGCATACATGGAGCTGTGTGGCTCTAAATATTACAGGTATATTTGACATCTATTTCTAAGACTAAATGCTGTACAAGTTGGTCATGTGGTGAGTCATTAAATCCAACAACTTCTTTTACAATACTATAGGGGCAGTGCTGAGGCCTTGTGGTTAAAGGCATTGGATTCGTGGTCTGCGGGTAAAGCTGCAGGTTGTGGGTTCGAGTCCAGCCTGGGGTCACGGTGCGTGTGCCCTTGGGCAAGGCACTTTGTCACTCATTGCTTCTCTCCACCTAGGAGTAAATGGGTACCTGTGAGGGCAGAGATTGTGATTGAATTCTAGCTTCCTTGCACCTAACAGGCTGCATCAAGCTGTGTACTCCCCAGGGAGCTGAGATGGTATTTGGAATGTTTCATGGGCCCAATGAGCAGAGGTAATAGTGATGTAGCGCCTTCAGCACCAGTCCTGGTGGATACGTGCGCTTTATAAATACCCACTATTATTATAGGTCTTAATGTTCCTAGTTTCGTAAGAGTTGAAGTGAACATCGGCAGTTTCACTCCTTTTGTTTCCAGACATCTCTGGCCACCAGATACTCCCAGGACCAGTTTGGCAAGCAGTATCAACAGACTGTCGGTCTGGACTTCTTTCTCAAGAGGATAATTATAGGAGGTGAGAATTATAGTGCACCTCGTATCAATTTTGATCAACAATTGACTAAGATGTGTCACCTCATCGGACTATGAACTGCCCGAAAAGCGTTTAGCGTTCAGCGACTATCCGCGTTGGATGTTTATCATCGCGGGACCGACTCTAAACCGGGCTTAACTATTGGACTCTGATTTACTAGTTTACTAGTGCAGTCCTCACTCCAACAAATTCCAACAAAACATGCAGTTGGATTTTGATGGGTTTGGGGTGGTTAGGGTTAAATAGACCCCCCATGTTACCTGTACACATAACCCCCCCCCCCCCCCTCCTGCAGCCGAATGCCTAGATCGATTTCCATAACTTGAAGGATTCCCAGAAAAACATCAAGTTTGCTTCATTTTTATTTGCCGACACTTCTCCGCTACGGCGCCCTCTAGTATATTGAGGCAGTGGTCACCCCTCCACTGATTAAATTCAAGAAAGTAACACATGATTTGGGGGGATTGAGGCTGAACGATGAATCCAATTTTTACATGTAGGCAATTGAAGGAGTTTGCAGGATTGAAGATGGTTCCCAGCAAAAAGGGCCTTTGGGTTAGGGCTAATGAAAGTACTGGTTCGATCAGTGTCTGTAGCAAAAAAAAAAGACTGATTATTTAGTTAATTCCTTCATCATTTATCAAGCTGGGCATGGGCTTCTCTGTTACATATTTTTTTGTTAATTATAAGATTGAACAAAATAATTGATTTGAGGAGGATTTGAACCTGCGACCTCTGGAAGACTATGCTACACACTCTAGCAATCCATCCCTATGTTGGCATTCCCCCGCTTCAAATTAGGTTTTTTTCCCTTCACTGCTGTTTAAACACTTTATACTCAGTGTGTTACCTCCCGAGTGAAAGTTGGAAAAAATCACTCGGGTGGGACTCGAACCCACGACCTCCCCCAGCTTGTTCAAGGGCACTAATCAGAAGCCATAAACCATATACCATGTCGCCAGGGATCATGCCCAAAGTCATTGCAGTTTCTAAGTGACATTGTTATTGACAAATATTTTCCTTCTCGTTTTTTTTTTCTTCACTTTCACAGATGACACTCATGTCACACTACAGGTGTGGGACATTGGGGGACAGACTCTCGGCGGTAAAATGCTGGACAACTATGTCTATGGAGCTAAGGTGAGGACACAACAACTAATATATCCTTGGTCAAGGTGTTTGACGATAGTGTCCGACGATCGATGGTCGTTCGCTATAAACAGTAGCCGTGCGCTTTGCACGTACTGTACAAAGCGCGAACAGCGACCTCACGCGGCTAGGCTACAATACGAAAATTGGTTTGTGCTGGTGGAACGCCTTGGAACAACTGTGCGCCTTGGCTAATGTTTTTCTTTATTTTTGTCTCTGGATTTCCAGGGAAGACCTCGTATGCGAATAAAGATGAGATTATTATTCAGTACTTGAGTTGCGGAGGCTCATATTTTACATGGACAGAGAGCTGGATAGTGTGGCTACTTTCTCAACAAGTTTGGAGTCTGCAGACCAAATATAACTCGATATAGATCCAGCGACAAACAACGAAAACTGCCTTAATCCAAGGTGTTCGACCAGCACCAACTGATTTGTATATTGTAGCCTAGCCGCATGAGGTCGCTGTTGGGGCTTTGTACAGTACGTGTTAGTGCATAAAAAAGGGTGGCATAGGTGGCTTGTGCGTAAAGCGCTCGCCTCTCACCAAGGTGACCACGGTTCGAATCCTGGCCCGCGGATCACATGTGAGTAGAGCTGTGCGTTGGTTCTCTCCTGTGCCACGAGGGTTTTTCTCCGGGCCCTCCGGTTTTTCTCCCTCCGGAAAAATCAAACAATTTCGATCTTAGGCTGTGCTCCGTGGTCATATATGGGTTGATGTGGCCAGCAGCCATAGGCGCCTTTACGTGCCAGCGGCCCGACCACGTTGTAGCTGCGTCCTTCGCAATTCAGCATACCAGCTGCGAGTAAGGATGATTAGCCTCCCAAATTATTATATAACGCGGGGTACTGTTTATGTTAGTGGCTCACCATCAATCATCGGACAGTATCGTCGAACGCCTTGACCAAGGCTAAACAAATCATGGCTTGCACGGTCACTTTTGAACAGTCACCGCAGAGGGCTAAATTCTCTCACCTTTTGGTCACTAGTACTTCTACGACAAAACAGCAAAACTGTAAAAGTATTATTAAAGGGAAAATACAACATTTGCAAACATCAAAAAATAAAACTACCAAATCGTTTTGAAATACCTTGCTGGACTGTTAGTGAATGACAGTGTAAAGCATCCTGTAAAATCATGGCACCTGGTATACTGTCATTTTCAAGAAAAGTGGTATTTTTGTATCAATTTCCAACGCTGGTCGGCCGACCAGCGTTGGAAAAAACTGGCTTTTTTTCAAATACTGGCCCCAATTGACCATCGCACTTGTTTGCAATCGATTACACACCTATGAACGGGTACAAGCCGGCTAGACTGGTTCCCTGACCTTACAATTCCCTGTTACTGCTTATATGGAGTCAGGGAACCAGACTACAGGAAAATGATTGTTTTTCTTGGTTTTTTAGCATTTTCGAACCCAAAACCTCAAAAAAGTCTGTGTAACTATATTTGCTATATATTTCCAACCCCCCAATTCCATCCATTTCTGAAAATTACAGCAAAAGCAAATGATGTATATTCCCTTTAAATAAATGTTTGAATCACAGAAAGACAGTTGGATTGAAATCCAATTCAAGTCTGAGGTAAACTATCGATCAGCGAACTCCAGTCTTAAATGGGTGTTTTTGTGTTTCTTTTTTCCTCCAGGGTGTGCTCCTGGTCTACGACATCACAAGCTACAACAGTTTTGAGAATGTTGAGGACTGGTATTCGAAAATCAAGGAAGTATTCAAAGACCAAGAGCATTACCCTCATATAGCGCTGGTCGCCAACAAGAGTGAGTACAAACCATGTGGCTCAGGCAATGCATCAATGCAATTTTTACATTGCCTTTATTTTTTCCATTGCCCATATTATACAAATAATGAATGTAATGAGTGCAATGGTGAGAATATTTTCATGAGTTGAAAGATCAAATGAGTTGAATGGGAACATTCCATCTTTCAACTAATATTCGCTACTTTTCAGCTTGTTCAAGGCTAACAAAGGTTTAAATGTCATATCATTGACAATAATGAAAATTAACATTGTAAGTTATCAAAACAATCAGTGCAAAAAAATCATCAAGGCAACTGCATCAACTTTGAAGGCAAGTTTTGTTCTGCTATAACGCATGCTAATAGCGCAAAGATAGTAGCGCTGGGCCGCTGCGCGTCGTAGCGTGCGCGGTGTGCAATAGATCAAAGGGGATGGGACGAAAATGCACGGTGAATGGAACCAAAAATGCACGGTTATGACGTAGGCCCTGCAATGGTTCGATCAATGAATGCCGCGTGACCGACAATCCTCCAATCAAATGACAAGGATTTACTTGGGTGTTATATAATGGTCCATATTTTGTTATTTTGTATTCTTCAACTCCCTGTGCCAGATGTGTTATAGTCCTGCCTGATTGCACACTATGTATGTGAAGATTGTGTTGTGTTTACTTAATTGTGCTCTGGTCACATAGGGCTGTCCCAAATATACCAGATATTCGCTCATCGACCTAATATTCAAATAGCTTTTTGCCGGTTTGATTATTCGAAAACAGAAAAACGAGAACAAAAATGCACATGACTGCAATGTTATTCTCATCGTAAAGTTTCGGCACTTTAGGCCAAAAAAAAAAGTCTCCGGTTTCTGGTATGCGCGCGCGTCGCCGTAGCCATGCGCGTCGGCAAAATGAAAAAGTTTTTTTTTCAATACAAGATGATGTCTCAAAACCGCCAAACTCACTGGTTTGACTGGAATCCTGCTGCTGCACAATTTTAACATGTTTTTAGATGGGGTTATGATTGAGAACAAGCTTTATGTGGCCTCTCTGGACTCCCATATATTTGCACTAAGTTTAGTCGGGCAATATTTGCAGTCATCAGCCGACATTTGAAGCCAAAAAAAAAAAAAAACAGGTAAAAAAAAAAAAAAAAGCCGCATCGCCGCACCACTTTTGGGGCAAGCTCCATACCAGAAACCGGAGACTTTTTTTTTTTTTGGCCTTACTGTCAGATGCCACTTTTGTGTCGACGGTGGTTCATTGTTCCCATCCTTTTAACAAGTTCAAACCCTTGACACTTACAAAATACCTACTGTAAAACAGTCCAGCCGTCCATAATATTGAGTCGCAGTTGCATGTGGCGTGTGTAAAACTGGATCAGAGAGTTTTGAATCATCAAATATTTGGTGAAACGCAGTTCCAAATAATTGAACAGTAAATTATTTGAAAATGGACAGTCCTATAATCACATATTGGGTCTCATATTTCTCATAAAAACTCCATTTACCTATTTTAACAAAAAAAAAATTGGTAGATACGTGCGCTATATAAGAATATAATATATGTGACCTACTGAGGCAAAATGAGGAATGTCCCTCAAAAAATTGTTTGGAGTAATCGATGCTTTAAGTCGGATATAGTAGAAAAATGATGTCAAAATTGATATTGGTTGTTTTGTATTTTTGAGTAGTCAAGGTATCCAAGATTCACACTATGCAATTTTTGTTGAGACAAAATACCCCCAAAAGTGAAAAAAAACTGAAGAACCTTTATTACTGCCATTGGTGGCGCAATACGTATCTTTTATTTTTCAAAGCCATTTTGCTCAAAATGAGGTTGGCGAAGATTGGCGGCACACTGTTGAAGTTCCTGCGGTATATCTTTGGAATAAATTCAGCTACAGAAATAAATTTGGTATCACTGGAAAGCCAATGATTTGCGCTTCAACATGATGTACATAACTAAAAAAGTCAAAGGTGGGGTTTATTCCTCATTATGATATGGCAGGTCACATATTATTATTATTATATTACTTTGATTTCCTCAGTGGACCTAGAACACATGCGGGCAGTGAAGGCCGATAAACACCAGCGGATGGTACAGGAACATAGCTTCTCCAGCCATTTTGTGTCTGCAAAGACTGGGGACACGGTAAGTATGGAACGCCCTTGGGGGTCGCTAGAGAGGGGGGGGGGGGGATTTTTTTGGGGGGGGGTCAACCCCATTGATCCTTTTTGTTGGCAAAATTGTCATCCTGTCAGAAAAGTGGTGTGTCTGTCAGCAGTATATGGTGCAAAAAAGGCGCTACCTTTCTTACCGACAGTGTCCAGGATTATCTGCTACTTAATACATATATGTCAATGAATGGAGGCACCAACTTGTGGACCTGGCTTTATTTTTTGGTCTGTGTGTAGCATGAACTTGCTTTCATTTTAAAAATACACTCTCAGATAGGAATATCTTTGATCTTCTCCAGTAAGAGAAACAGAAAAGAAAACTTCTTTTTTTTTCATTTATCTTCCACAGGTTGACCTGTGTTTCCAGAAGATAGCAGCAGAAATCCTTGGTGTCAAATTATCGAGGTCTGAAATGGAACAAGCAAACGTATCCTTTTCCAACTAAATTTGTCTAATTTAAAGTGAAACAGTTTTCTTGTTTCCAAACTTTAATTGTATAACTGGTGCACAGAAAACATCAAAAGTGACGATCACTTTCCCTTAACCTTTGGCATAAACAGAGGGTCGTCAAAGCTGAGGTCGTTAACTACAACGATCCGTCACCGAGACCCCCAACCAATCAGACCAGGAGCTCCATGTGCTCTGTCATGTGATGCTTGTTAAAGCGCACTGCCAAGAACGATAGACTTGTGCTTTGCCCACGTACATGTACACAACAGACTTTCGACATCAGTTGGTCGTGGTAGCCTGTCACCTGTAGATGTGGAAATTTACTATCGGTGTCAGCGGTGGGATTACATGTGTCTGCAGATAAGAGGAAGCCTACTGACTTTGGTGCTGCTCTAAGCAACTGGACTTCAAAAAGTGCTGTTATCTCAAAGAGAATCCATCCACTTGGAATGGGGTTTGAAACACCGGTCTGCAGAACACTGTCTTTGAGTTTTTGTTAATTTTTGACTGCTTGTGAAAGTGTTTTTCATCAAACAGGCACATTGTGTTCCCTCTACCATAGGGAAATCTTGCACAAATTTTTCTCGGAGTTCATGGTAAGATGAAGGTCACAGGGCGTAGTGCAAAACCAGGGCAATACGCGAAGTCCATCACAAATCAATCGCGAGTCAGCAGTGTTGTGGTCCAGTCCATCACAAGTCTGTCCCAAGTCTGGTCAAAAGAAAAACACAAGTCCTTTCACAAGTCCGGTCACAGGTAACAGGGAATGAACAACTGTGCAATGATTTTGTCGAGAGTTCATTTGTATAGTTTGTGACTAGACTCTAGACTGAAGGACTTGTGATGGACTTGCGATGGACACGACTCTGTGCAAGTCGGGTCACAAGTACACGTAACAGTGGGGGATAGTTTGTCTATGTCTAGCCCAGGTTGGACTCTGTTGTGTACACGCAACAGAGTCCAGGGTATGAATCTCTCCTGCCATAACGAAAACACATTTTTTGCATATTTTTACCTGACAAAGGAAGCTGAAATTTCGCGTACGTATTCCTTGTGTCCAGAATTGTACCTGCGCTGGGTTTAGGAACTCAAATATGTCTGCGGGCAGCATGTTTACCGAAAATAAACCCCAATCCCATGCTTTCATTGAAAACATTTTCAGTACGAACTCCCTGTGTGAAGATTACGCGTGCGCGTGCATGCACACCTAGCACGCTGCCGCCACGGCAGCAAGCGGCAGCAAACGGCACGCGCGTGTACGTCTTCACGCGGGGAGTTCGTACTGAAAATGTTTTCAACAAAAGCATAGAACTTGCGGTTTATTTTTTGTAAACGTGCCGATTGCAGACATATTTGCAGTTCCTAAACCCAGCGCAAGTACAATTCTGGACACAAGGAATATGTAAGCAAATTTTCAGCTTCCTCCGTCAGGTAAAAATATGAAAAAAATGTGTTATAAGTTTTTTCGCTATGGTGGTAGAATTTATACCCTGGACATCAGTTGCAATGCAATGAAGACGTCGTCCAACCTGGGCTAGTCTATGTCTTGATGCCAGACTGGATGGATTACCAATGACTTGTGAGGACTGAACTACAACACTGACACAAACTGGTGGTAACTATCCATTAAAGGTATAGTCCATCATTTGTAATTTGTGCATTTTGTTTCTTTGAATGGAAGCAACAGAATTGCTCAATGTGTGAAGAAGGATGCTGAACAACCAATCTCATGAAGTTTCAGCTTAGCTTCAGCTGCATTTTTCGAGGAAAAAAAACATTCTAGGATCTCAATTTCATATCAAAAGTTGCTGAATCATGTTTTGAATTGGACCTGAATCCAGCGTCCGAGACACGTTCTCACAGAGCCGAATGCAGCTACGCGATGTCGCGCACTGATCCGACGAATTATAGCAACCGCTCCTGCTTCGTGCCATGCTTGCGCGCGCTTCGCCAAATAACAAACAAACCACTACTTTGAATTTCCTATGGTGCTTCTTGAGACGCACCGTTGGAAAAGCTTTCTTTCGTTGATTTCTTCAAAATGACAGCTTGCCAGAAAGAACAATTTCACAGGAGTTTAGTCCCCTTACTATCTTTCAACCAAGTTTGTTTTTGAACAATAATTACGCCAGTTACTTTTTGGATAGCTACAAATGATGAATTCTGGCTTTAATACCGAGTTAGTTTGTTTTTAACTGTAATTAGAACTCCAATACTTAACTCGACTACACCCTCCTGGTATATAAATTTCCTTATTTATTGCTTATAGTTACAAGTATGTTATTCAGGCCTGTATGCAGGATTTCCGGGGAGGGGGGGGGGGGTTGACTCCAGACATCTGTCAAGCCCACTGGAACACATTTTTTCCACGTGGTGCTGGAATGCATTTTTGCCAGGGGTAGGGGTGCTCAAGTATACAGTCGAGCCCTGATAAGAAGAGCACTGTTAATACAACATCCTCCTTACAACAAGGAAAATTGTAGGTCCCAAGTCTTTGTTTTTCTTTGTTTTCCATCACTGATAATACAAGGTACCTGTTATGACAAGGTAATTTGTAAAGTCCCAAGGACCTTGTCATCAGGCCAAAACAAAAAATATTCAGTCTCTGGTCAGACCGAAGTTCCGGAATTGATGCGGCGACGCGTTTTTTTTTTTTTTTTTTTTTTTTTTTTTTTTTCAAAGCTTAAATTGTACAGACAAGGTGGGTTCTATTTTGCTTTTTTGTGTCCTCATTATACATTGGTGTCCTCCATAATTTGCCTTGGTGCCCTTTATCATTTGCCTTGGTGCAATTTCCCCATTACTTTGTGCTCCTTGGTACAAAAATTTGAGGAGGTGCGGCAATAGAGGGCGCTGTTGTAGTTTTCGTGTTAATTGAAGAAGAAAAAGGTTGACGTGCATTATTAAAATCGACGCACGCGCTGACCAGAGACCGAGTATTTTTTTTTTTGGCCTAAAGGTGCTCGACTGGATTCCAGCGCCCCCATCCAAAAAGTTGAAAAGTTGGGGTTGCTGCAGCACCCACAACACCCTTCCCCCCCCCCCCCCTCCTTTCCCACGGGCTTGACATCAGTTCAATATTTATGCTCATCATATTTGGATGAAGGTTGTTTTATTGGAGGTATTTCTATCCAAGCAGCATTCTATTTAGGAACGTTTGACAAGCACGTGTTCTGATTAGTTATACAAATTTGTACGTGTACAAGCACTACATTGATGCAGCAGTTTTTTAAAAGCATGTGCTGGTTTATTGTAGTCAATCACAGGGGTGTGAAATCTCAGCTTTAAAGCTGATTTCAGCTTTTTTTGTCTTGGATTTCAGCTTTTTTTTCCCTCACTTGCTGTGTACAAAAGTATAGGAGATTTTCCAAAGTTCAGCTTTTTTTACACCTTTTCCAGCTGTTTTCAGCTATTTTTATCTGTGGTCACTCACACCCCTGCTTGAATCACCGAAAAGTACCACAAGCACAGGGCAGCACTTAATTAGCTGACAAAGTGAAAATTGTCCCATTTTAGAAAAGAAGGGACAAAATATTTGTCCCCTAGTGTCCACTGGACATCAAATCTGCCATCAGTTATCAGATGACGGGATTTATTCAGTTGCTGTATAAAAGGTTTTATCTTCTGTGATTGTCATTTTTACTCCCCAATCATTTGTGACTACAGTTATAGTTCCATAGGAGCTCAGAGAAGGAATTTATATATCAGTACCTGAGAAAACCAAATGTATTCATTCTGATGAAAAAGTTTGCTTTGACAGACCGCTCCACCGGCCGGCCAGTGGTGTTTTGATAATCACTGCTGTGACTACTTATTACTGCAGATAGGTGATGAGATTGTGCCTTTAATGATACAAGCATGGCATTTGGCACACAATCAGAGTATGTCATGAGAAAGATAGTTGGCTATAAGGCCATCGCAGATTTGTTCTTTGAAAAAATATAGGTAAAATAACAAGCAAAGGCAGCCATTTTTAAATTTTGCAAATTGCTTGTTATTCTACCTATATTTTTTCAAAGGACAAGTCTGCAATGGCCTATTGCCAAATATCTTTCTCATGACATACTCTGACTGTGTGCCAAATTCAATGCTTCTATTATCAAAGGCACAAATCCCCCAAATATTTACCCTATCTGCCCCACTAAATGTCTGATACGCGTTCTCAAAAGTCTGAGATGCGTGCAGGCGTGTATGAAACGCACGGCTGAAAAAAACGAAACATGCAGTGTGGCATATATGCATATTGGAGAGGTACACCTGTTAGTTTGCCCACGTACGTATAATGGGCAGGGCTTGATCGATCTATGATGGCTATTTAGGGAATTTTTTGTTGTTGTGGTTACCTGTGTTTTAAAAGAAATTTTATGTAGTTAAATTTAAAGTTCAGGCATTTGTATGCACTGCTATCAGAGTACTCTATATTTGTTGAAAATTGAACAGAAATTATAAATAAGACGAGTGTTGTACATTTTGATGGAATTCTATTATGTCACTTGAGTGAATTATGTTTCATTTTTTGGAGGGGGGGGCTGGGTGGGGGAGTTGGGGTTTGGAATTTGCATGTCCTTGAAATGAAAGTTAGGAAATGGTTATAAAGTGAAACTGAAATCTGAGGCTATATTTTGGGCTATACTACATTATTTGTGTCAGTGGCAGATCTATTGGGGGTGTTTAGACAGTCTGTCCTCTCCCACCCCCCCCCCCTGCAAAATTAGTAAAATTATGCAGAAAATTTGGGCATGTGATCACTATGCACGAAGCCCCCAACAATTTTTGTCAGTTATAGAAAAGTGTGTTTAAAGTTGTTATGGGCCCATTTTAATTCCATCCATACATCATTTTCCCAACAGCGATAAATTTTTTATTGATAAACTCAGGGTTTTTTTTTAATTTCTTTGGTTCTCATATCTCACCGACCAAGGATTTTGGTGGGTTTTTTTTTTGGGGGGGGGGGGCTCACAATTTTGTTTCTTCAAATTTTGTGGAGGTTTTTTTTTTTGGGGGGGGGACTATTTTGATGTTGGTGCAAATCGTGGGACTAAAAAAAAACAAAAAAAAAACACCTCTTGGGGTGAGGCTCAAGCCCCCCGAGGCCCCCCCCCCCCTTGGGTGCGCAACTGCGCTGACCCTGTCTCAAAAAAAATAAAAACACTGAGTGACTCGTGTTATTTGAAAAGCTATAGATCAGTAAGGACATGTGATTATTAAACCCAATTTAGGAAAGAAAATTCGCTTTTTGGGGAAAAATGAAAAATTAAAATTTCGGGGATTCGAACCCGCAACCTTTAAATTTGCTAGTGTAAACTATAGTAGCCGGACTAACTTGTCCGCAGAAAAGATAGGACGAGCGCCATCATGCGAAATGATTGTGCCTGATGACTGGATAAATAAAGTACAGTAAACAGAAAATTGGGGGCGTGCAGCGCATGCAGCTAGCAAGCTGGTGGCGCACGCGCGCGTAATACCAGTACCGTAACGTCTGCCATGGCTGATGCGGTGGAGAGAACAGACGACTTGGTTCGAGATTACCTGCTGTTTCGTGGCTTTACGAATACTCTGAAAACTTTTGATGCAGAATTAAAGGTCGACAAAGATAAGAAGCTCCGGGTAGGATTACAATGTTTAAAATATCTGAAACTGTTTGAATAAAAATGTTAAAAAATGGTTTGCCCAGTTTTCGGACATTCGTAATTGACAGTGAAACTGAAAGTGAAAGCTGGATTATCATCTTCGGATATATGTCAATTGTCATGTATGTGAACACACATTATTTTACATTTTCAAAACTAGCACTGGGGGTAGTTTTTCCGGCACAACTATAGAATACAGGGCCACTCCATGAATCTGGGACTGAGAAACATTTCCAATTTTGTTAGAAAATACTTTGAAACTGCTCTCGACTCTCCATAGCACTGCATAGACCACTATTGCCACCCTTTTATTAAAGATAGTGGATATTTTGCCGGAGGTAATGACGGCAAACTAACGATTACTAAAGGTTTGCTGGCGGCAATCCATATCAACAGAGGGCGCTGTACTCTTTAAAATAGGGCTGAATTATAAGATGTATTAAATTCCCACCAAAAGTTGTGCAGCACGTTTGGTGTAGTGGTTAAGCAAAGGCTCTAGTAAGCGGTATGACTCGCGTTCGAATCTGACCGCACCACATTCTAAAGGTTTTTTTTCTCATCCCCAAATAAATAAGAATATTCTTCTTTTATTATTTTAACATGTCTCAAACATTTTTTGCAGAGTATTACATTTTCTTTTTTCAGATTTTTGTAAGTTACAAATGTATCTGTTATCTGTTACTTTCTGTACAAACGCCTGGTGTGGCTATCGCATACATGCAGCCTCATGGTGTATGTATGAGGATAAATGCCAGAAACACTGGGGCGAACCCCTTCTCTTAGCGATAAGTGTTTGCTGGGTTCTTTTACGTGCATTTATACAACACACGGGACCTACAGCTTTACGTCTCATCCGAAGGACGAAGCAATAATGGTTAAGTGCCTTGCTCAAGGGCACAAGTATCCGGGCCCGGGCTTGAACCCACGCCACTGTTGTCTCTGAAACACCAGAGCATGAGTGCAGTGTTCTTAACTGCTAGGCCATCTCACCCCATCAGTTAGTCAACAAAGAGGTTTGGCAACACGTACTGCATGAGGAAACTCGGGGGAATTGGAAACGTCAAAGTGCGTCACGTTAGGGCACTCCGCTACAGTCAGCATTTTTGGCTTGGGTTACTATCACCGGCCAGGTTCCTTACTGGTTTAAAACCACACATTTATAGCAGCGCCATCACACTATTAATCCCCTTATTTGAGTTCCACACTAATCATCTGTATACATGTAGTTGACGTTGTTAACCCACATCTCATTTATGCATTTGTAGGTGGACAAAGTGCTAGACCATCTGCTGAACTCGGTATGGAATTACGATCTAGCAGCAGTCCGAGGCTACATGGAACACCTGGACAGGCGGATATTTTCCCACCTGGAGTACAGTCAGATGACCAATGTCCGCAAGCTGGAAGTCAGCATTCTGAGGTGGGTGCAGTCAATATACCTACTGTATGGGGGTCGGGAGAGGGGGGGGGGGAGGGAACTAAATTACGTACTGTACAGCATATCAATTGCATACATGTAGCACCAGAGTTGTCACAACATAATAATAATAATAATAATTACTCCTTTCGCCCCAATAGGGTGACTTTCCCATAGACTTGTGCACAAACCTAAACTGTCACCTAACCCAAGCTTACCTTATGTTTTTTCCACAAAATTTAGTATTTATACTAATTGGACCATGAGGAATCGATCTAGATGGTTAGCGACTGCAAAATTCCTTGTCCTAAGGGTTGTTTTCATAAAAGGGCGACAGTTATTTTGTCGCCTCAATAAGGTGTATCGCCCTATTGTGGACGGAGTTCGCAAAACCTGTCGCCCTATTACAGTAATAGTAGTAATAAGTGTTCTGAAGTCCAACTTTGTGAAGGGATGCTAGTTTTCAGGCTATAGCCTGAATTAAGGCTTTTCATGTTTTAGAAAACAAATTCAAGCTTTCCATCCCTTCACAGGCCGGAAAAATAAATCCTCGTGTAGCAATGCTCCATGGCAGTCACCATGCCACATGTACATGTAGCTCGGTACACGAATGTAAGAATTGCAAGTTCAAAGTAGACATACATACATGTACATGTAAGAACACGTGTGGTACAAATGTATATTGCAATGTGTTTATGGTGTATTGCAATCTTTTTATGCATGGGGTCATCTTTCACAGGTCAGAGGTCCTGGAACAAAAACCCACTTGCATCCGAACCCTGATGTGTAACAATATGAACTTTGACACAGGATTTCGTTTGTAACTGTTAGCCCCATAGACATAATAAAACCTAGACACGACATTTGCTATTGCGCCAGTGTGAGCAAAATGCTGCGCGTATGGAATAACTAAGAAGTATACGCGTAAATCAAAGCCATATGAATGACATTCGCGCATCGTGTAATTAAGCCGCGTGACACATGCAGCCCGTTTTGCTCACAGAATTTACAACGTAAAAGCAGATAATGTGTCTAAACCTAGACACGACATTTGCTATTGCGCCTGTGAGCAAAATGCTGCGCGTATAGAATGTTATTTGAAGTATGCGCGTAAATCGAAGCCACAATGATAATTCGCGCATCGCGCGCGCCAGGCCGCGTGACGCAGTCCATTTTGCTTACAGAATTTACAACGTAATAGCAGATAATGTCGTGTCTAGGTTTTATTATATGTCTATGGTTAGCCCCAGTGCCTTGAATCAGCTTGCCTAAAATTCAAAAGAAAATGCATCCAAGCTAAAGTTTTTGATATGGACTCCGTGTGTACAAGCCCGTAGCGTTTTTGCGTGAGCATCAGGTGTCATCAGCAATGGTCTCCCCCAACTCTCCCTCTGTAACCGTTGAGGGGGTGCTTGTGCACGAAAAAGGATTACGAGATGCACTATGCAGCTAATTTAACACTACAACCAAATATAAGCTAATTAAACATCCGATAATTTGACAGTTGAAATGGTGTTCTTGATCGCAGGTTGTACATCGTGAACGCAAGCCAGAACAATCGGTCCGATAAAGTCAGCGAGTTCTTTGAGAAGATGGGAAGCGAGATTCAGAACCAGCCTGAATGGAAAGAGTGGTTCGGTATGTGCATCAGTCATGAAATGTGCTTTGCTTGTACAGTTTAGTGAAGATACATGAACAGTTTATGTACATACAAGTATGCAATATATACATGTGTTTTTTCCAGTGTCTGTCAAATACTCCAATTCATCCGAGTGGTCCAATTGGTATACATGTGTGACTAGTGATTGCTTGTGATTGACTGGTGATGGACTTGTTAATGAACTTGTTATGGACTTTTGATGGACTTGTTATGGACTTGTAATGGACTTGTGATTGACTTGTAATGGACTTGTGATGGACTTGTGATGGACTTGTGATGGACTTGTGATGGACTTGTGATGGACTTGTGATTGACTTGTGATTGACTTGTGATTGACTTGTGATGGACTTGTGATGGACTTGTGATGGACTTGGGATTGACTTGTGATGGACTTGTGATGGATTTGTGATGGACTTGTGATGGACTTGTGATGGACTTGTGATGGACTTGTGATGGACTTGTGATTGACTTGTGACGGACTTGTGATGGACTTGTGATGGACTTGTGATGGACTTGGGATTGATTTGTGATGGACTTGTGATTGACTTGTGATTGACTTGTGATGGACTTGTGATGGACTTGTGATTGACTTGTGATGGACTTGTGATGGACTTGTGATTGACTTGTGATTGACTTGTGATGGACTTGTGATGGACTTGTGATTGACTAGTGATTGACTTGTGATTGACTTGTGATTAACTTGACTACGACACTGGTAACCTCATGTATAATACACATGTACTACCAATTACAAGCCATGACGTTTGCATGCATATCAGTGCACCTTTGTTGTTCCTACACCATGTACTTGTTTCTTTTTTACCCCACAGCGTTACCTTTCCTGAAGAACCCAGAGCAGAGTGCGACCTTTGAACTCTACTTCAGCAAGCAGTGGCAGGAGACCTTGACGATTTCTCTCCACAACTTCTTCAGCATCATCTTCCAGTCCATGCATATCCTTAAGATCATTTTTTTTTGTCAGGGTGACCTCTGCCTCAATCCTCCAAAATCGTCCCACTCACTTTTAAAGGGAATGTACATCATTGGCTTTTGCTGTAATTTTAAGAAATGAACTACTTGAGGGGTTAGTATAATACTAGTCAAATATTGTTACACTGACATGTTTGAAGTTTTGTGTTCGAAAATGCTGGAAAAACCAAGAAAAACGAAAATGTTCAAGTAGTCTGGTTCCCTGACTCCACTAAGGATAAAATGGATCAATTTATAGATGCCGGAAAATTGTAAGGTAAGGGAATAAGTGTAGCTGGCCTGCACCCGTTCATGAACATGTTACCAATAGCAAACAAAATTTGGACTTAAAAAATGATATATTTGAAGCAGAAGTTGAAAAATAGTTAGGTTTTTCCAACGGTGATCGGCCGACCACTGTTGGAAATGTATACAAAAATGCCAATTTCTTGAAAATGACTTCACACCAGGAGCCATAATTTTACAGGATGCTTTTGACTGTCATTTACCAACATCCAAGTAAGGTATTTCGTAAAAACTTGATAGTTTTATTTTTCGATGTTTGCAAATGTTGTATATTCCCTTTAACACGTTGGAGCAGTGCAGAGGATATCCAGAAGCAGTGTGGATGATAACCAGTATAATTAGACCTCAATTGTGCATGGCTGAACTTATTATAAACAACGCTGAGTACAGCTTCAGTCATTGACACAATGCAACCTCCAAAATCAATGTGCACTTTACAGGCATACAGCCTCAATCCTTCAACATCCTCCAAAATGCCTGGTGATTTTGGAGGATTGATTGTGGGGGGGTATTTAGGGTTAACAAATAACTGTGTTATCTGTTTCAAACTTTGATCTTTTCTGTGAGACACGGAATTCAGTATTACAATCCAAAGCGATTCATAAAATAAACCAATTAAAATCCTGACACATTCTCTACACAATTTTTTCCATTGTAAATATATATCCGTCAAACAATTCGAAGGAATTTTCTTCATTGGAATTGATTTGTTTCTCCTTAACTTGCCCAAATCCACCTCTTCCAGGATTGCTGAATTTTGACGCTGAACTGCAGCGGATGAATGACTTGCAAGACAACAACGCACTCCTTATGAAGCAGGTTGGTAAACAGTGTACATGTACATACGTCTTCTGCTGGGCTGACAGACCACCTAAACGAACCATACCCTGCACTGCCACTGTCCGTATATATCAGCTGCATGGCGCGAGCCAGGCTGGAAGACTGCCTAGTGGCGTTTGCAACTTGTTAAACATGTTAAATGTATTTTCTTAATTTCTTCATCCAGATTAGGACACTTTTTTTGTGGGGAGGGGGGGCAGTGGATATGCGGGTATGCAGGATATGAATATTTAAAGTTTTATTTGACCAGCCACGGAGAGTACATACGTTCAAGCATCATAAGCTTTCCAAATGACATAAAGCACTTTTGGAAAGAATGTTGCAACCTGACGCCACTTCCGCGATTGTGTACAAAGTCTATGGAGAGTCAAGAAAATTTTCCAAGTATTTCCTAACAAAATTGGAAATGTCTCTTAGTCCCAGATTCATGTCTTTTCATCTTTTTTGCAATGAATGACCTTCATTGAGATGATATATGAAGAAAAAAATGGCGTCAGGTTGCAACATTCTTTCCGCACTTTTACACATGCGCTTGCTGCCTGACCTCACACAACGTGTTCTGTCCCTGATCAATGGGATCTGTCTTTGTCAAGGAGAGCTACATCATTAATAATAACAAACTAATTGACTATTAAATAAGTTGACCATTAAATAAACCACGAAGGATTGTAAGTGGTTAATGCTAACCCTGCTGGACGCAACGTAGTGCATCAGCTGTGAAAGTCTGTGGGACCTTGCTGCATTGAGCCATCAACACCAATGCGTAAATGACAGATTCTTAAAAATGAGAGCTAGTCCCATTGAACAATGCCACAGTAGTATCCAGCTGCATTCAGTGACCTCAGACTCTGAGGCGGTTTAGCCTTGAGACTTTGACCTGATGGATCTTGCTACACTGAGCAGGCGTTTCATTTTGACAAGTGTTGCATTTAGTTGCGTTCAACAGGGTTTCTAGCCAAAATAGGGTAGGGGGTTAATGCTTACAGAGATCATGTGATAAATGTTTTACTTACAGGTTTCCATGTTGGAGCGTGCCCAGAAGGAGAAAGGTGCATCCTTAGAGCTTCCTTCAGAACTCAGCGGAGCCGCAGAGGTGCAGGATGACTTCACTGCCTTACCAACGTAAAAGCAGTAAAATCATATCTATATGTCAATTTTGTTGTTGTCTTATTTAATATTTTTGAGTGTGTGTAAAAAATAGTCTCTATTGTATCTTGTTGCAAGAGTCCTTTAGGTATGGATGAGGCTTCGCCTCGCCCACTTCGTGGTGTAGGGGGCTTTACAGCCTCGCACACTTTGTGGGTAAATGCTCGCTTCACGGGCAACTGCCCGTTACAAGGGCAAAAGTACACTACACGGGCGAACTCCCACTACGCAAGTGAGAAGCTAGTCATGGATTTGGATTTTATTCCCCATATACAGCCGGTCCGTGACAAGCGAGGTCGCTATCAACAAGATGAATCAACCCAGTCTTGGCAATATTGGCAGCGCCACCCAGGAAATTTCCAGCATACCTCACGCGCGTGCATTATCTTGTATACAGCGCGCATGAGGTATGCTCGGAATATCGCGGTTAGTGCTGTCAATATTGCCAAGACTGCATTGGATTTATCTCTACTGCCTTTGTCACGTCACGGGTCTGGCTGCAAAATCGTGGAATTAAAATTTTTTAGTGCAGTCTTGGAGCAAGACTAGTGAGAAGCCTGCCCAGTGTAGCAATATCCCACATGTCAAAATTCCTAAGGCCACACTGCTTCGGAGTCTGTGGTCACCATCTGCTTTAGGATACAACAGTAACATTGTTCAATGGGATTTGCTCCCAGTGTCTCAGAGGGTGCAGTTTATCCCTCCTATACAAACATACATTCTGTGCCAAGTTGTCCTTTCAGTCAAAATCAATCAAGTGACTGTTTTCAACGGTTAAGAATTCCCAGCACACATAAAAGTAGGATTGACTGGCCGTGACTGCCCATGTAACTTGATACAGCTTTGCTTTGACTGTGGGTAATTGATAAGCCATCTGTGCCCACAATTTGCCTGCTTTGTCTGTTCATGGTCTGTTGACTGAGTTTGACTAGTCACAGTGCGTGCTTGACATTATGTTCTGACTGCTATTATAAGTATAGCAGGGGAAGTGGGTGGAAATTTTGACTTCCTGTGACCGTTTAAATAGCAGGAGGGTTATGCACTGGTGTTGGTGGCCCTATGCAAACATGTCCCACAGACTTGTCACACCGGCTGCACTGTGTTGCATCTAGCAATGTGAGGGTAAATTAAGCTCAAATTTTGTTTGATTTTTTTATAGGAATGCTGAAGTCAAAGACCCACAGTTCAAGGCCGCCAGGGTAAGCAGCACCAAGAAAAGCCCGTCCCCGATTTCAGTCAGACGGAGTAACCCACTGGGGACACCCGGCCCCGCCCGTAGGGCCGTCACGGCGATCCTGGGCAGCGTCAGTGACAAGGTCACCAGGCAAGTGGGCAATGGCAGGGAGTCAGGAACAAGCAAGAAGGCGGAAATCACCCAGGCTGCATCATCGGGGATATCTGTACAGGTTAGATGGTGATTTGAACATTTTCATGGAGGACAGGTACAATAAAGGGTGAAATAGTGGTGGGACTTAAATCTGGATTTTTTATAATTCGGTTTGAATCCCACTTTTTGTTTACAATTTTGGATACCGGATATTCGAAACCAACCTTTAAAAGAATTAAGCCCTCCATTTTTTGTGACGCGGGAAACAACTGGAACATTCCCCAATTTGCTTTGTCTTCTCTGATCGGAACTGCATTTACTCGCTACTGGTCTTCTTGGTATATGAATAGCCTGCCCATTCAGCTTTTCAGAGAGTTTAGAGTTTAAAATCGCTTTATTTTGCAGTGGAGCTTCGACATCATTTTACAAAATGGCGACATGACTACTTTTAGGGGTGATCATCTTTGGATGAAAATTTCTCTCAAAAGTGATCAGTTAACCCAAAGATTGAGCAGAAAATGAACGATGATTAGTAGTGGTAGTGAAGTCTGTCATGAGCCAATGTGACCCATCAGGCCGGCGTTGATCTCCAGTTTCAGTTGCATGAAACGACAGAATATTTCTCTTCCCCCTGGATGGGATGCTAGTCCATCACAGGTTACTCCCCAAGCTAATGTCGGTACCCATTTGTACTCCTGGGTGGAGAGAGGCAAGTGGGGATGAAGTGGCTTGCCCAAGGACACAACATGTGGCCAGCGGCTGGATTCGAACCCCTGACCCTCTGATCATGAGTCCATGAGCCTTAACCTCTAGGCTACACTCACTGTGAACGATGATTAAACAAGCTGTAATTTGATGTGGTCTCAAACACCTCAGAGAGTTGTAGATGTTTTTCCTGGGAGTGGGCATAATTGTCACTGGAATCTATGACAGCTCATTTACAGGTCTGCAGCCATAACCTTTTTCCCGTCTTTTTTTTTTGTCTGTAAGGGATTCAACCAAATGAGCCAGCCATCTCAGCAGCCAGCCACACACCAGAGGCCCGGTCGCTCCCAGCAGCAATCCTCCCAGGCTCTCGCCCAGCAGAGACGGGAACTCCTCTCCAAATCCAGCCAGGGGAGGGCGCCAGACTCGCAACGCTACGCGTCGCAGTCCAGCGTGGAGGAGTACGGCATGCAGGACATGCTGAGCGTCGGCAAGCCGGGCAGGAGCGGCAACTTTGGCACGTTGCCAAACTTCGCGGAGCCTGTCGCGCTAGAGCCTGTCGTGAAGAAGGAGCCGGATGTGACTGTGCCTAAGGCCCTTCCCCAGCCTGTTGCAGTGCCTATTGAAGAGACAAAGAAGCCCTCACTAGACCAAGGTAGACATTTCGAATCGGCGGTTTTGTCTTTATGTGTACATAATTGTCAGTTAACCCTAACTTTGACAAATCCTCCCAAATCCTCTTTGCAAAACGGAGGATTTTGCAGGATTGAGGCTATCTGGCAAAAGTGTGGCTGATTTTGGAGGATGCACTGTTCCAAGGTCTTGGGCCAGACCTTGCGTTGTTTATGCTCAGCCGTGCATAAATGTAGGCCTAGATTATACTTGAAATCTTCCGCACTGCTCCAAGATGGCACTGGCTGTGCCTCAACATATGCGATGCGATCAAGCTAAATGAGTCGTTTGTCGACCTGGTCATATTTACAGATTTAAAAAGAGCACAATCTCTGCATTACTGCTGTGAAAACGGCATGCTGATACCATCTTTAGTTCAACAATTATGAAAGTCGGAACACCAAGAGATGTGATGAAGTGATGTGATGAAGTGGCCCTATTTTGGCCTGAATCTCCAAATGATAATTCCCGACAAACGACTCATTTAGCTTGATCGCATCACATATTGCCAGTGATTGCTATAGGCTGTTGTTTTCGTTTTGCTGGAAGAGCACACACCTTTTTGTGATCCGTGGACAGAACTTTAAAACGGCGGTTGTTTTAAAAAATCCGTAACTTAAAAAAGTACATGAGTGATTTGAATGATTCTTGTACTAAAATAAAGCTTATGAATTGGGCTTTCACATCCTAGATTTTGAAAGTGCTACATGCAGAACTTCCCTAAAACAATGGTCCCGACATTTGGCTTTCATTTTCTTTTTACTCACCCTGTATGTTCACATGGTGCTACTCCTCAATTTACAGCGTTACCCCTCTCAGCGCCCTACGCTTATTAAAAGTTGACTCTATAAAGAGAAAAAATACTTGCCCACTTGTTGCTCCATAGATTACGAGGAGGCAGCTCCATTCATAGTCCTCAGCCAAGACGAGTACACGGAGCATCACTCAGCCATCGCTGCCTGCAAGTTCAACCCCTCTGCCACTACCGTGGCCAGTTTGGACATAGATGGTGTTGTCAAGTGAGTATTTTTAACTTAAGATTGTATTTTGCAAGTAGATTATCAGCTTTATCAGTCTCTCGATGACGGGCAGAGCACACTGTCCGAAATGTGGAGTTTCCTCCGGTTCTTTTCAGGACCTCACAAACCCACAATTTTAAGAGATGTACATGGTGACTAAAAAAAAATGAAACCCAAATGTCAGGACTATTGTTTTATTGAAGTTCTGCATGTAGCACTTTCAAAATCTAGTATATGAAAGCCCAATTCATAAGCTTTCTTTTAGTACAAGAATCATTGAAATCACTCATGTACTTTTCAAGTTACGGAATTTTAAACACAACCACTGTTTAAGGTTAAGGTCCACGGTTCACCAAAAAGGTGTGCGTTCTTTCAGCAAAACGAAAACAATTCACACACATACCTATGTGATTTGTTTTCGTTTTGCTGAAAGAGCACTGAACTTTTTTACGATCCTTGGACAGAACCTTAAAACGGTGGTTGTGTTTAAAATTCCGTACCTTGAAAAGTACATCAGTGATTTGAATGATTCTTGTACTAAAAGAAAGCTCATGAATTGGGCTTTCATATCCTAGATTTTGAAAGTGCTACATGCAGAACTTCACTAAAACAATGGTCCCAACATTTGGGTTTCGCTTTTTTGACTCACCCTGTACTTCCTCTTTATACCACATAATGATAAGTTCATGAGAAAAATGTTTAATTTTCGTGTTGCCTGATCAGCTTCTTAATTGTGTTTTTTCTTCTCATTAAATATTGATTTTCATAAAGACCCTACTTTATCCACACAGGGTTTGGAAGTTTGCACCTTCCCCAATAACCACGGCAACAATCATGTATAAATCACCAGTACTATCCATAGAGTGGGCTACAAAATCGGACCGCTTGGTAAGAAAGTATAACACCAATCCGATATGATCAAAATTAGAGTGATATTTCTTTCTTCTTTTCCCATTAATTTTCTTTGATATTTCACTTACAAAAACGTAATAAATAGCAACCACGTGTGCCTCGTGTCAATGCCTACGTGCACCCATTCACGGATTCGCCCAATTACAAACCACTTCTAACAGAACTTTCCAAAAATGCATCTCTTGACTCATCTTCGGGAGTGACCTTATATTCTTTTCTACAAAATGATAGCATGCCAGAAGGAACTTGATAATTTCACAGGGAGTTTAAAGACATTACTATCTTTGAATCAAGTGAGCTTTGAACAATAATTTGGTATGTTACTTGTGGGATAGTTGCAAATGATCTACTCTACATTTTAAAGGGACACTAGGGTCCTGGAACAGCCAAATTGGGCTACAAAACGCACTTTGAACGAGATGATGTTAATCGGAAATAACATTTAAAAGTAGGATATAAACATCCACACAACTATCCTTTCAAAACTGGGCGTTTTTGTGTTATTCCTGTATTTTGCGTGCGAGAACGAATTTCGGGGTCCACTTTTGCGACCCCATAAATTCGAGCTGTTATGACGCTAGTTGTGATTTCATTTGTAAAGTGTTCGCCATTTGCGGACGTTGAAGAAACCTTTTTTTTTTGCATTGATGGTGATTGTAAACAAGCGGTTTTTTTTTTTCTTTTCTCGGGAACGGTAAGACATTAGGTTGGTTTCCTTTCAACCAGATGTTTGAAATAGGCTAAGTAAACAATCCAAAATATAAAATTTTCTGGGATTTCAGGATCTAGTGCCCCTAGTGGCTTTTGGTTGTAGGCGTATTGAGTACATGCATGCGACCTGCATGCGAGCTTGCTATGGGCTCCGTGCACAAGTACCCCTTCAACGGCCAGAAAAGGAGAGTTGGGGGAGACCTAGACTGGTTCCGGTCCATCCACTGTGTATTTCGAATGATCTGCCAGACTATCGCAAGTTAAATTTGAACGCAAAGTTAAATTTGAATGCGCACCGACGACGCCTGATGCTCACGCGCGACGATGCTACGGCTTGGGCCAAGTTCGCGCAAGGACTATAGTTGACCAATGGTTAACTAACGTTTGCCCAAACTCTGTCTAGTCGACGGTGGTTGACTACGCTAGTCGACTATTTGGAACCAGCCTACTGGGGTTGGTTGCTTCACTGGTAACCAATAGCCGAGCGCATTCATAACGCTAGCAGAGAGCCAGGATCCAGAAGTTTTGCGATGACATTTTGACCAGTGTTTGACTAGAGACGTTCGCACGTTGCTATCAGTGCGCAGGCGTAAGGTACGTCATAAATCAACCACTAGTCGACTATTAAATGGTCCTTGCCCGAACTTGGCCCCCTATGAACAAAATTAGGATAATATTTCTTTCTTCTTTTTCCATTAATTTTCTTTGATATTTCACTTACAAAAACGTAATTTAATAGCAACCACGTGTGCCTCGTGTCAACGCTTGCGTGCACCCATTCACGGATTCACCCAATTACAAACCACTGCTAACAGAACTTTCCCGAAATGCGTCACTTGACTCATCTTCGGAAGTGACCTTCTTAATATTGTTTTCTAAAAAATGACAGCATGCCAGCAGGAATAATTTCACAGGGAGTTTAAAAACATTACTATCTTTGAATCAAGTGAGGCCAAGTTTGAGCAAGGACCATTAGTCCACTAGTGGTTGATTTGTGACGTACCTTATGCCTGCGCGCTGATAGCAACATGCGAACATCTCTAGTCAAACGCTGGTCAAAATGTCATCGCAAAACTTCTGGATCCTGGCTCTCTGCTAGCGTTATGAATGTGCGCGGCTATTGGTTACCAGCGAAGCAACCAACCCCAGTAGGCTGGTTCCAAATAGTCGACTAGCGTAGTCAACCACCGTTGACTAGACAGAGTTCGGGCAAACGTTAGTTAACCATTGGTCAACTATAGTCCTTGCGCGAACTTGGCCTGAGCTTTGAACAATAATTTGGTATGTTACTTGTGGGATAGTTGGAAATGATCTGCTCTACCTTTTAACGATAAGGCTTCTGGTTGAAGGCGTATTGAGTACATGCATGCGACCTGCATGCGAGCTTGCTGGCATCTATGGGCTCCGTTCACAAGTACCCCTTCAACGGCCAGAAAAGGAGAGTTGGGGGAGACCTAGACTGGTTCCGGGCCATCCACTGTGTATTTTGAATCATCTGCCAGACTATCGCAAGTTAAATTTGAACGTAAAGTTAAATTTGAATGCGCGCCGACGACACCTGGTGCTCACGCGCGACAATGCTACGGCTTAGCTTTGTGCACATTCAGAATAAGTAAGTCGTGCTTACTTCGCGCGCTAACCAGTCCCGTACAGGCACACGCGGTGTCCCGTCTCAAAAGCGCCCTCTTTCGTTGGCGCACTGGAGCCCATACATGTGTGCCATGGCTTTCAGTTGCAGTTGCCAGACTAGACTTGTAACGTTTCCATCAATTCTGTTTCATTGCTTTGCAGTTGTTACTGGGCAGTTCAAACGGCACTGTGAAGATCTACGACACGGAAGCCAAGAAACCAGTGTGTGACTTAGAAACAGACAGCGGCCATCCAAGGTTTGCGTTCAAACAAAATGTCATTGTGGTTCAAAAAGGGCATCAATGGTGTGATCAACTCCCTATTTTTAGCTGTGTTGCCGTTCGTTCAGTTATGTATGGTCAGAGTACTTTTAAGGAATTCAAGTTTCAGTTTTTGTTTGAACGGTCATCATTGTGAAATGCTTTTCCAAGGAAGAGGGCATTTGTGAAAATCCCTTAAAAAGACACCAGGAAAAGAGGCAGGAAATATAAAAGCAATGGTAACTTGGCAAATTTCCGGATCCAGAGGGGGGTGGGGGGCACCCCCCCTCCTGGAAAACTGTTATTGATTATTATTATTATTTTTTTTTTTTACATTTTCAGGAAATAAATTAAAATGTTGCGTATCTCCCTCGCTAGCCATCAGCTACGCATACCTTTTAGTTTTAATTATACAGGGTGGATAAAACAAACATGAAACCGAGATATTATTGCTAATTGGAACAGAAGTAGGGCACATGTGAGTCAAAAGGAGATATCCTCTGTTAGGGTTGAATCTCCTCTTTAAAATGACACCCTGATCATGTCATTACCTTCACGGTTGACTGAGCAGTGACAAATTTTTTTGAAAGGGTCTATTTACAGGCTTGCGCCACTTTTCAATTGTGGTTTTTGTGTTGTCATTTGTCACAGAGTGAAAGGCTATGGTTGCCAATCAAGGCAGGTGGGGGAAAAAAGAGATTTCACCATGAAAAGTGGCGCAATTCTCTAAATAGACCCTTTCATAAAATTGGTCACTGCTCAGTCAACTGTGAATGTAAGGACATGATCAGGGTGTCATTTTAAAGAGGAGATTCAACCCTAACAGAGGGTATCTCCTTTTGATTCACATGTGCCCAACTTTCATTTTTTTATCCACCCTGTATTACAATATGGAAATAGCACAAGATTCTACATATTTAATCCCCTTCCCCTTTTTGAAAAAAAAAATATTCAACCATCGGGTTAATTTAGTGTGCAATAAATCACAACAATACTGTGTTTATCTTGGTTTCCTGCAGGGCAGTCTCTTTATGCTGCAGTCCCAATGGTTCAACCTTCATCTGTTCAGCGGCCAGTCTTTCCAATCACCAGCCGTCCGGTCTTCCCTCCACAGCGGTATCGTCCAGGTTACTAGTCTGTGACATCAAACAGGTCAAGGTCATAGTAAGTGTGATCCACGCCACTTTCATAAATCTGATGAGGATTGAGTTCAGGCCAGTATAGAAATATGAACACGAAGCGAATTTGAAGTCGGGAAACAGCTGCGAAATTACCCCGAGGTGAAACGTGTTCATTTTGTCCCGTCACCCACCCATCTGGCTAATGGGGGCGTGTTCAAAGCGAATGATCTTAACACCATTGGACATAGGTAGCCCTTTTCATTGCAACAAATTTGCAGACGGACTCTATTCGTTGACAAAAACGATTTATACCCCCCCCACACTCCACACCCCACCCTCTTTGTCAATGGTAATTTATTTGCTGGAAGACTTTCAGAGGTTGATTTCTCATCCTGGTTTTGAACATTTCTTTTTCTTCCAGAATGAGCTGGCTATGACGACCAATTCAGGTTGTGTGAACTGCACAGCATTCAACCACAACGGGCATCTCTTAGTCACTGGCGCAGCAGATGGAATGATCAGAATATTTGGTAAGAAAAGTAAAAAAAAAAGTTTTGTTTCCAGTAACACTGCCAAAAAGGAAGATTAGGTAGGCATAAAAACACTAAAAAGTTCAAAATTGACAAGAAAATAAACCACATTATGTGAAGTACATTGTTGTTTTTTGTTGTGTTTCTTGCAGATATGCAACGATTAGAGAGCCTACTCAGTTGGCATGCACACTCCGGTCCGGTCTATGCAGCTCAGTTCAGCCTAGATGAGACGTCTGTCCTGAGTATGGGCTCGGATGGAAAGGTAAACCTATAAACCCTGACCCTGAATCCTCCTGCTTTGGGCAAGTGCATCCATCCCTAATGACCCATACACCTCAGAATTTGGGGAAGGCAAAATGAGCCTTTAAAAGTTCAAGGGAATGTACAACATTTGCCTTTGCTGCAATTTTCAGAAATAAATGGATTCGGAGGATTAGTATGCTATAGCAGATATTGTTAAATTGACTTGTTTCACGTTTTGGGCTTGTAGATGTAAAAAAAAACCAAGAAAACCAATCATGTTCTTGAAGTCTGTTTCCCTAAGGTGAAATGGACCAATTTATAGACCTTGTGAAATTGTAAGGTATAGAGAATCAGTCTAGAAGACTTGTACCCCTTCACAGGTGTGTAATCAATTGCCAAGAAAATGCGGAATAACTAAATACGAAAAATTAGGAGCAGTTTTAGAAACAAGCTAGTTTTTTTTCCAACACTGGTTGGCCGACCAGCATTGGGAAAAAATACTTGAAAATTTCTTGAAAATGTCAGCACACCAGGAGCTACGATTTTACAGGATGCTTTAGACTATCATTCCCTGACAATCCAGTAAGGTATTTTGTGATAATTTGACCATTTTGTTTTTTGATCTTTGCCAATGTTGTATCTTCCCTTTAAGAAGGAATTGAGCCCCTCCCCCTCTCCCAACCCTCCGCTAGAAAATTAGCATCTCCCCCCCCCCCAAAAAAAATCCTGCAAATTGGACCCCTACTACGCCACTGCTTGACTACAATGCCGGTTTCATCTCCCGTTACACTACAGTTCAGTCAGTGGAGCACGCACCGAGTCGGTGAGAGGCTGCAGCAGCTAGACATCCACGACGGTGCCACGGGACCATTCATCATGTCGGGATTCGGCGGATACAAACAACAGCTGGCTCCCCGGGCCAAGCTCTTTGCCTTCGACAGCAGCGGCACCCACGTGCTTACCTGTGCGCCGTACGGAGGCATCATTTACAAGGTTAGTGGTGGGGGAAAAAATTGGTGACTGTTCGTGCAAAATCGTCCCTCAAAATGTATCTTCGAGGTTTCTACAGGATGAGTAAAAAGAAACGATACCCAAATTTTGGGACCATTGTTTTAGGGAAGTTCTGCATATAGCACTTTCAAAATCTAGGATATGAAAGCCCAATTCACAAGCTTTCTTTTAGTACACGAATTATTCAAATCACTCATGTACTTTTCAAGTTACAGAGTTTTAAACACAACCACCGTTTTAAGGTTCTGTCCACGGATCACAAAAAGGTCAGCGTTCTATTAGCAAAACGAAAACAATTCACACACATCCCTGTGTGATTTCTTTTCGTTTTGCTGAATGAACACTGAACTTTTTTGTGATCTTTGGACAGAACCTTAAAACGGTGGTTGTGTTTAAAATTCCGTAACTTGAAAAGTACGTGAGTGATTTGAATAATTCCTGTACTAAAAGAAAGCTTATGAATTGGGCTTTCATATCCTAGATTTTGAAAGTGCTATATGAAGAACTTCACTAAAACAATGGTCCCAACATTTGGGTTTCATTTTTTTTTACTCACCCTGCATTGTTTGCTGTCCTGGCACCCTGGAGTTAATCCCAGGCCAGTTGACTCATTCCTAATGAGTTCGTGGGCCAGGCTGGATGACCTTTTGCATATACCAATATTCATGACTTGACATCGTCCTTTTCAAAATGTTCAGATGAAACCCACTTGGAACCGGCAGGAACCGGTGGTAACCTGCGGTTACCCGCCGGTTGGATGTGATATCATTTCAGGAAGACACTTTTCAGTTCGATGTTTTCTGTTCAGATTGTGAACCCAAAATTTGCTAATTTAAAACAGTAGTGAGAAAAGGTTGCTCATTGGCTTACTACCCTGTACTTACACAATGACGAATCCCCAAAGAAAACAAACTTAACGACCGCAAAATATCCAAAATTCTAGCAACTATTTGTGCTGATGTAGCTGTAACATTGAGGTTTCTGCCTGGAATGACATCACAGTTTTGCTCATGAAAATGGAAATTTGAATAAGCATAAGAACCAAAAGTCACCAAAATGCCCTTCAAAATGGCAAAACAAAAACTGAAAATAAGGTTAAATGGGACACAAAGGTGCATTTTCAAGGATTGCATTAAAAAAATTACATTGCGTGAGCCCTTAAAGGGAAAATACAACATTTGCAAACATCAAAAAATGAAATGATCAAATTATCATGAAATACCTTACTGGATTGTTAGGGACTGACAATCTAAAGCATCCTTTAAAATCGTGGCTCCTGGTGTGCTGACATTTTCAAGAAAAACTGTATTTTTCCAACGCTGGTCGGCCGACCAGCGTTGGAGAAAACTGGCTTTTTTTTTAAAAACTGTTCTTAATTTTTCATATTTAGTTATTCTGAATTTTCTTTGCAATTGATTACACACCTCTGAAGGGGCACAAGCCTGCTAGACTGATTCTCTGACCTTACAATTCCCCAAAGTGTATTAATTGCTCTGTTTCATCCTATTGGGGTCAGGGAACCAGACTACAAGAACACGATAGGTTTTCTTGGTGTTTCCAGCATCTACAAGCCCAAAACGTGAAACAAGTCTGTTTAACAATATTTTCTATAACATACTAATCCTCCAAATCCATTTATTTCTGAAAATTGAAGCAAAAGCAAATGTTGTACATTCCCTTTAATGACAAGAAAACAACAAAGGCGTTGTCATGGGTTTTTAGTAAAAATTTTAAGCCATCAACAAATATAATTTTTTTTTTTTTTATAAATCAATACCAGCTGCACAGAGAGCAGGGAATGCTGCGGCTGTTGACCATCTTAGGTCACCGTACTCCAGTCGTCAGCGTCGACTGGTGCACGTCAGTCAACACTGGCATGTGTCTAACGGGCTCCATGGACGGCCGTGTACAGGTCACAACTCTACTCAGCCAGTGATGCTCCGCAGGTTGTAAAAAAAACACCAAAAATCACTATTTTAATAACCAATTTTTTTAAAGAAGCACACACAGACTGAAATATATTAAATGAAAGATGATCATGATATCTGTTATGTACAGTTGGTGCGTTTTAAAATATATTTTACCGGAGAGTAGGAGGCAGAGGGTCATTTTGATTACATGTGCAATTCCTGGAACTTTGTATCTTGCCAACCTCTCTAAAGTGAGTTTTCTTTCGGTGACCGTCTCGTGTTACAGTAGGGAAATCAAAAACCATAACTACCGCCCACAAGTAACTATCGCCTGTGGAGCGCTGTGGTCCAATGTTAAGGTGTTGACTCGCGTGCCTCGGTACGTGGGTTCAAAGCCTGACGGGGAACATGGTGCTTGTGTTCTTGGGCAAGACACTTTACTACAATTGCCTCTCTCCACCCAGGAGTATAAATGGGTACCTGTGAAGGTAGAGACCAGATTGCGCTGATCTCGAGCTGCTGCAAAAACTGGTCTCATGGCCTGATGAACAGGGGTAATAATTGTGAAGTGCTTTGAGACTTTTAGTAATAAAAAAAAGAAAAGGGGACGAACCTGTATTCACAGGAACGGAGTGCCCATCTCTCTTTCGTTAGCGATTGGGCCAGACTTGAGTCCATGAAATGCTGCTGTGGGGGGATCGCCACACCTCCTCCACAGTGAGTCTGTTACCTTCCCAGCATTGAACAATGCTGGTACCCATTTAACGCCTGGGTTGAGAGGAGTAATTGAGGTAAAGTGCCTTACTCAAGGGCACAACACGCATGGCCACGGTGGGGCTCGAACCCACAACCTCTTGATCACGAATCCTGTGCTCCACCGCTAGACCACACGTGCCCCACGACCACACGTACCTGTGAATACAGGTTCGTCCCCTTTACCTTTTTAGTAATAAAGCGCTATATATAAGCACCACAGTATTATTATTATTATAATTAATATTATTATTATGACCTGATGTGATGGGCACCGCTGATTTTACAAGTTTCGTAGATCCATTACACGTGTAGTTAATATCCTTACCAGTGACTAAATGGCCATGATGTAGCTCTAGCAGTGGCCATGTTTTGGGGCCCAAAACTGACTTATGGCAGATTCACATGACAATTAGCCCATGGACAGTACGTATATTGGTGTTCCACATCTGCTAACCTGGTTGCCAGGAAGATGTCCAGGACAAAATGCGGAGCTTTTTCCGGACAAAGTGAATGATGCTACCCTGCAACTTGTCCGGAACTCATATGAATTGAGACAGACCCTACACTACACAGAACTATAAAGCTATGAGTAAAGTTTAAAAAAATACTGGTTGATTATATGTCTATATTTCTGTTTGAAATGTACAAATTACCTGCAATTTTTTTCTTGATACTGGATTTTGTATCTCAATTCAAGTCAATTTATTGTAATGCAGTGACTCAATACAAAATGGAGTCACTCAAAGGCAGTGACACCTGGCAAAGTCGAATCAGGTTGACTCACAATGGGTTGGCGAGTTAACCAGTTCAAGTCGGATGACATGTATACACGCAAAGGTTTTGCAGTAGTCGGATCGGATGATGGATAAACACGCAATGAGCGAGGCAGAAGATATCCGTCAGCGAACCGCTCGCAGCGAGCGAGGCTGGAAATATCAGGGTTTGCTACCTGCAGATGACGGCCTGAACCTGTCTGGCATCGAGGTTTGTGAAAAACAATCCCACGCCTGGGTCCGGCGGATGTCAAAATAATCCTGGCGTGAACTGGTTAAGTCGAGTCAAGTCACATTCTTCCATGAGTCCAATTGATCTCATTAAAATTCCATCTATTGAATATATCACAATCTAAGATAGGGTTAAGCTTCGAGAATTTATAGTTTCTTGGGTTTTTGTTTGGGATTTCTTGCGTCGATATGCCAATCTGGCCTCGGCCCTCTGAATCCGTTACACTTACTGCAGTTATGTTAGGTCTGGAATGTGTTTTACTGGAGCTTCCAGGTGTGCCCCACTTGTGGACAATGTACTTTGGTGCTTTTGATAAAGAATCTTGTAAAAAAAGAAGGCTGTCATTAGTTCTGTGCATTACTTGTTTTAAGCCATTGATCATTGATCAAAAGGACCGTACATATACGGGATAGCTATGTGGCTCGGGAAAAAGTTGCTTGTAAAATCGTGGTTATTCATCTAGCACAATATGGGCAATGTGCATTTCACATCAAAACGTTAAGATATACATAATGTAGTTTTGGCGAAATAACCACACAAAATTGCGATTTAACCAACTGGTTTATCCCAACTCCATATGGATGCAAAAGTGCAATAAAATCCCATAGACACTAGTGCTAAATGCCCATACTTCAGAATTCTTTTTAAAATACTCGGAACTCTCACAGGTATTTTAGCTGCACAGTAAAATGATGATCAACATGTCATCTTTCATTTTCTTTTCATTTTTTTGGTGGGTTGACCATTGACTTTTCGAGAAATCTCACTCAAAGAAGATGACCCCTATTTTTCTCAAAGCGAAAAAGTAGCCATCTTGAAAAAGGATCCCTCCACAACATGGCAAAATAGTGCCACTTTCGAGCCCAATTGAATCCAAAATGCTCAGAATTGGAAGCCCCGAGTCCGGGCCAGAGCTTCATTTACATATCTCTTCAATTCCCCTAATTTTATGGCTCTCAGAACTCTCTAATATAGAATATTTTGAGGGTATAACTTTTATTCATGAGCTCGGCGGATTGGTTTAAGCCTATTTACCGGTGTGCACCCATATGTGTATAAATACACCATTTGTAATTGTCCAGCTAATAATACATATCTATTTTTTCCAACTTTCACTCGGGAGGTAACACACCGAGTATACAGTGTTTAAAACGTCGGTGAAGGGCAAGACCTAATTTGATTAATACATATCTACATATACATGACGAGGCTTCTCCTCGCCTGCTACGCGGGGGAGGAGAACGCTCTTTGGACAGAAGTAAACTGTTGCCTTTGGTTACGGTGAAATGTTCTGTCTTGCTTTGAGCTGGCTAATTAAATGTTAAATATCCCCTTACAAATATTAGGAAAATTGTGTTGGTAGTGTTTTTGGGTCGTCACAAAGAAAGGCCTGTATCTCTTGCATCAGGCATACAACTTTTCCTCGGATCAGCTGATTTCCTCTTTTTTTACTTCCCATGTGTGCCATTGAAAATAGAAAAACACTGTACAAAGTCTGGGAAAAATTTGAATTTCCTCTTTTTTGTGATTTCCCAGTTGCATGCCTGTTGCATGCATGGATGAATATCAGTGAAACGTTTACTGACTGTGGTCAATGCCCAGACCGAATGTTGGCTGAAGAGAAAAAAACTTATAACCTTTCCCTTTATGGGAAACATAAATACAATGACTTATCCAAAGTGACTTTTAAAAAAAAAGTCATCCTGTATAGCGGTCATGTGTACATATTCTCAAATAATATATATACGCGATATGGTAGACAAGGATAATTCCTTCAAGTTGCATCTTGACCATCCATGTTTCACTCACTCTCAGGCAGTTTCATTGTCTGTAAGTTCTTGAACAGTACCCTCATGAACAAGGTAATGTGGTAGTTTCATGTTACAGCAGTAAAATCCATGCTTTGATCATTAAATCTCCCACCAGGCCACAAGACCATCCTCCAATCAACTTGTTATCAGTACAGTGAAGCCCCATCTCATCTAAGACTTTTTAACTTCAATTCCTTTCCAAAGGAAAATTCCTTTTCATGATCAAAGCCTTGTGAAAATAAATACAAGATGAAGATTTCCCAAAAGCTTTATGGTGAAGATTTCCCAAACCTTTCAAGTTCCTACTCTATAATCCCCAATTTTCCATTCACTCGTCGAAGATGCATGAATGACAAGGGGACTGACCGATCAAATATCTCCACGAATGATAATGAGGTTCCGGCCACTCCAAGATGAGCATCGAGTTGAAGCAGGTGTCCCCTTAACCAAAGTCGCAATTGCCACACCGCTGTTCTTATTTATTCCTCTGATGAGGGCAATGACTTTCTGCGCGGGTGGATGGAAGGGCATGCGAAGCAGTCCCTGACAGATTTCCTGACGGGATGTGTACGTCATCAGTTCCTTCTGTCGATTAGTTTTACCGCGACTCTCTTGTACGAAATTTGAAGCAATATGCTTTTACTCATTGGAGTGTACGTAATCTTGCAGTCATCCCGGCTGTTGAACCCTGTGCGGTTTTTTTTTTTTTTTTACTTGTCCGCAATGTGTGGAAAAGCCATTGTTTTCCTTCCGTTTTGGGCTTTTCCGCAACTTTGCGGAAAAGCCATTGGTTTTCTTCTGATTTTTTTGTTCTTTTTCCCCCTTGTTCTTCTATCTCAAATCCCATTGACTTTGTACACGTTTCATTTTCTGGGTCACTTTTGACATTAAACAGACTTCTTTCTTGATGAAACTTTGCATAGGCTGAACCCGTGCATATTGTTCGGACGTCATGATGACGATCAACAATTCTAGTTGCTTTTGTTTATTTTCCACATGATAACAAAACAGAAAAGCCGTGTCTCGTTTGTTCCAGGACTGGTATGAGTTTGAAGCGTTGGTCTCATCAAAAGGAATGTTACTATGGCTAAAGCCAGCTGTCTTTATGCGCAAAATAAATGAAAACAGGTGTATTATTCCAAACGTGTTGTGTCACGTTGGAGTGATAGAAGGCTCCATGGCTTTTCAGAATATCTGTACAAATTTGCCTTTGTTATCAATATTCATCCGCTTGGGCTTGATACCCCTCCGTTTTACAGGCATTGAACACCGACTGTAAATTTCTCAATGTTGTTCAATCATGATGTTGAATGAATAGTCTTGACTGATTCCGAGAGCTTATAAAAGGCACTGAAATTTTGAGCCCTACCCCTTCAACAATCTTTATTACTTCTTGAAAATCTTCCTCTTGAGACCGAAACTTCAATAAAGTTTAAATCTCATGATCAAATCCAGAGTTTTACATCTCTTTTGATGTGTGTAAACGTATCTCTCTTATCATTTATTTGGAGGCTACATTAAATTTAATCATGCCCTTTTGCTGCTTGTTTTCTCTGAACGGCGATTATAATTTTTCAATAGCAAGTTTGAAGAGTCCATCACAAGTTAGATCACAGTGCGAACAGTGGTAAAATGAATGCCAACGTCATGGTTTTTGT